AGATTAGAGGTGTGTGCCACCACACTTGGCCTAGCAATAGCCCCTGTAAACTGCTGGGTCAAGAGCTACTTGCTAAAAATAGGAACCTAGATGACCAATTCTGTTGGTTTGTTTGTTACCAAGAAAGCAGCCCTTGCCTCAGTTTCTTTGAACTGACTTGGCAAAGGCCTGTCCGAGTTCTCAGCAGGTTTCCCTGAGTTCTGTAGTGCTTTCCCTCAGCCAGCAGGGCCAGGACCTCCAGACCTCACCCCCTTTCGGGGCTTTAGCCGCCTCACTTCCCAGCACACAAGGTCTTCAGGGTGCTGGCAGAACTCCGAGAGGAACAGCCGCAGTGTGGAGGAGAGGAGCTGGGGCTTGCACTGCCAGGGGTCGAGGGCAGCTCTGAGCTGTAAATTGCCTTCTCCTTGGACCTTCGACCTGAAATGGCTGCCAGTAGGGGTCTGTGGAATGGAGCTGGCCTCCACCCCCGCCACTGAGTCCTCACAACTGTCCTCTTCAAGCCTGACTCCGTGGCTGCCAGCTCAGAAAGTGACCAGAAACTCGGTGAGCCCAGGACTCCAGGGAGCAAGGCCAGCCAGGCCCAGGTCACTCCCCATCATCACCTCATACTCCCTGGCATGAAGGCCATGCATGGGGACCATGCTGGGTGCTTGGTGGCCATGAAGGTGCACAGGACCTGCCACATGCTGCCCTTTGTTCTCTGTATCAGGGAACCCCAATAGCATGAGTGCAGAGGGAATGAATCTCAGCTGAGACTTTATGAATACGTCCTGGAATCGTGCAGTGCTCACCTCTAATAGATGGACATCATGGCCCCACAAGGGGAAAACCGAGGTCACACATGCACATGACGGCGATGCAGCAGGAGGAGCCGCTTCACACTGGGGGACTGGGGAAGACCCCATGGAGGAGGGCTGCTGTGGGTTTGGGCTTTGAAGAAAGGGAGGTGAGTGGCAATGTCACCCAGGTAAAAGGCACAGATTTAGCCATGAGCAGCACGCTGTAAGCACCTATGATGGAGAATGCACTGGAAAGAGGTGGATGACAGGACACGGATGGTCTGGTCCTGAGGTCTTCGGGAGCTGTAGCAGATTCCTGCTCAAGGCAGGGTGACACAAACGAGGCTTTCAGGGATGGAGTTACCTGAGCAGCTCCAGGACGCAGAGGCTGGGAGCCTGGGTCTCTCCATGGGCCCTCTGGTGGCAGGAGGGAAGGAGCTGGTCCCCAGCCCAGCAGTCCCCTCCCTCTCCTCTGGCTGTGTCCTCCCCACCCCTCTGCCCTGGGCCCCTCTCCGTGGTCAGGTCAGGACAGTGACGCAGGAGTCAGGGCCCAGCAGGGCGGGAGACGCGTGTGGACGTGTGTGCACGTGTCTGGCTCCCAGCTTTGCTGGGCTCCAAGTGCAGAGCCTGGGCGCCAGGTTCTGGAAGGGCCCCAGCAGGCCCAATCGAGGGAGAGCAGGGAGCAGCATGGAGGCAGGCGTCCAGCCCCCATTTGTCCAGCCAGTAGTTTCCTGGCCTTGTCTTCCACCAGCCTCTCCCTTTTCAGATCATGCTCTCCCACTGTACTCTCAGGGCTCCCTGCTTCACCCTAGCAGGTCACCTCAGCCTGGAATCCCTGGCCACCTCAGGGATAAGCTTCTTGGCCTTTTCTCCTTAGTTTTGTTTTTGTTTCTGAGTTCTTGTTGTTTGTTTTGTTTTCTGTACTGGGGACTGGGTATTAAACTCAGAGCCTTTACATTGAGCTACATCCCAGCCTAATTTTTTTTTTTTTAATTTTGAAACAAGGTCTCCTCACTAAATTGGAAGTTGCCTGTCTGGGCTAGAACTTGTGATCCTCCTGTCTCAGCCTTCCAGAGTGTTAGGAGTACAAGTGCAAACCACCACTCCTGTCTGTATGGTTCATAGCTTTGTTCCAGCTTTCCTGGCAAAGAGTATGTTCATAAACATTTCTTTACATTTTTTTTTTTTCTTGTTTTGTTTTGTTTTGGTGGCACCAAGGATTGAACTCACAACCTCACGCTTGCCAGGCAGGCGCTTATGCCACTGAGCTAAACCGCTGGCCCAAATTTTTTTTCTTTTTTTCCAAATTTTTTTTTCTTAAGGGGCTGGGGATTTAACTTAGTAGGCATAAGCGCCTGCCTTGCAAGCGCGTGGTTGCAAGTTCAATCCCTGGTCCCGATTAAAAAAAAAATTTTTTTTTTGTCTTTTTTGTTTTTTTTTTATCAGTATCAGGGATCGAACTCAGGACTGCCTGCTTGCAAGACAGGCGCTTATGCCGCTGAGCTAAATCCCTAGCCCCTAATTTTTTTTTTTTTTTTTCCTTAAACGAATGAATGAATGATTTCCTATCCTTTCTAAAAGAAATCCACATTCTTCAAGGTGGCATTCAAGGTCCTTTGCAACCTGACTCCTCCACAACCTCACTCTGGCCTCTCACCTCCCGGCTCTCTCTCCTCCATCCCTTCACCCTCCTGCAGCTCGGCGAGCCGGCCCCCCACCCCCACCTTTGCCTACTGGAACCCACCCACTCTTCAAGGCTGCCTCCTGCTCAACCCCGCATCACCTCTGTCTCCCTTCCTCAGCTGGAGGGAGCGCCCCCTTTCCGAGCTCTTTGCGCAGCGCAGCTCCGCAGGCTGCAACCCTCACACGCCCCGGTTACCCAGCTCACTTCAGAACGTGCATGCTGCAAACTCCAGGCAAGAGGAGCTAGGTCTCAGCACCTCTTTTTGTACTGCAAAGTATCATGCACAAAGGAGGTATATGGAGGCTGGTGACGCAGCTCAGTGGTACAGCACTTGCCTAGTGTGCAACAGGCCCTAGGTTCGAATCCCAGCACAGCAAAAAACAAACAAGAAACAAGGCAGGCACTAAATGCACGCATCTGATAGCTCTAATATCACGTGACTTAATCAAGCGCAGAGGACTAACTACAACCTCTGTATTTGTAAGACGGCTTTGTTTTTTTTTAAAGCCAGTCAAATTTAGCAGTGGGGGAGGGGTGGTATACCAACTTTAGTGACACTAATGTTAATAAATTCTGATAACCCACTGCCATCGGACCAGCCGACGGCTTTGTTTTTTAAAGACAAAAAATAAGAAAAAGGATGATCCAAAATTTCAAGACAGGGGCTAGGGATTTAGCTCAGCGGCATAAGTGCCTGCCTTGCAAGCAGGCAGTCGTGAGTTCGATTCCCAGTACCGATAAAAAAAGAATAAGATAAAAAACAAAACAAAACAAAATTTCAAAACAAGATAATAGGAAAGCAACAATGGCTGATATATTTCGTATTATTTTCAAAGAAGTTGCCTGGATTACAAACTGGAGGCATCCAAACAAACCTTTCTTTTCAATGAACTAATAGAAATTAGTAGTATAATTATCTTAACTATGTAGTATATTGACTGCTATTTTTGATGACTTCTAAGTGAGGTAGGATGGTGCTTTCCTCGTACCCACTGGACAAGTGAGAGCAGTGAGGTTCCAGGGCTGAGGCCACTTTCTAAGGTTTGAGAAGCCAGGAAGCATGGACTCTTGCCCCGGTGAGTTTGGCCCCCCTGCCTTGAAGCTTCCAGAAGCCACAAAAGCTCACCTGTAAATCCCAATGCCATCACTCCTGGAATCAGGTCAATTTCAAAGCTTGTAAGAATTTTGCCAACTGGGAAATCTATATCACAGGTCAAAACACCTAATGCCGACTGGATGAGGTGTGGTATGCCTGTAATCCCAGCACTCTGGGAGGCTGAGGCAAGAGGATCACAAGTTCTATCCCAACCAGGAAACATTGATTTAGCGAGGAGACCCTGTCTCAAAATTTAAAAAGATGGGGGCTCAGGATTTAGCTCAGCGGCATAAGCACCTGCCTTGCAAGCAGGCAGTCGTGAGTTCGATTCCCGCTACCGATAAAAAGGAAAAAGACAAAAAAAAAAAAAAAAAAACATTAAAAAGATGTAACTCAGTGCAAAGGTTCTGGGTTCAGTTCCCAATATGAGAAAAAAGGAGAAAGGAAAGAAGGAAAGAAAAGGAAGAAAAGAAAGAAGGAAGAGAGAGGAAAGAAAAGAAAGCTGGCCAGATATGGTGGCTCACACCTGTAATCCCAGCACTTGGGAGACTGAGGCAGGATGGTCAATCATTGTGAGTTTGAGGGCAGCCTGGGGACACAGGACAGTGTGGTATATGGCATGAGACCCTGTCTCAAAAAAAAAAAAAAAAAAGCTGATATCAAAACCCAAGAGTGTCCTGAACAGGTTACCAGTGTTCTGAAACTTAAGATGCTAGGCTTTTAGGGTCCTAGAAAAGAAGCATTGGGGGAAGAAGAACCCCAAATTCTTTGCTGCATTTGCCTCCATTCAGTTCCTCAACATGGACCACAGTGGTTTCTAGATAGCGCCCAGATTGTGAAGGAAGGAACCCAGTTGCTTCCAGGTTTCCAGACCCAGCCATTCCACCAGAACCCAGGAACCCAGCAGCTTTGAGTACCCACCCCAACCCCCACTCTAGGGTAGGCGTCGGGGTCCCCAGCCTTTCCCAGACAGGCGCCCCCGGCTAGGGGCCAGGTATCCCGCCAGTCCCAAGACCCCAACCCCTGGCCCAGCGCGCCCCGCGCCTGCACGCGCGCCTCCAGTAGCCCTGCCCCGGCCCCGCGAACCCCCGACCCAGGCGTCCTGCCCCGGGCTGTGACCCCGCGTGGCCCCCACCCCCGGCGACCCCTCACGCACACAGCCTCACCCCCACCCCCACGGCGCACGCACACAGGCTGATAACAGCCCCGACCCCCGCCGGAGCCGCAGTGTCCCCGGGCCAACCCTGACCGGTCGCTGTGTCGTGCTGTCCTCCGGGACCCGCTTTCCTCCGACCCCCGGCTGGGCGGCCGCGACGAGCCCGTGACCCCCTCCTTCAGGCCCGCGGGGTGTCTCTGTCCCACCGAGCTTCCCGGGATGAGGGCTCCCGGCGTGGGCGCCGGTCGAGTCCCGGGTCGCTGAGGGGCCCCGCCAGGCGCGGAGATGGGGGCGCGCGGTGAGTGTTCCGGGGCTGCGGGAGGAGGCGGGATTTACCCCCAGCCTGCCGGGGCGGGCTAGGTTCAAGGACCCGCGATTTGCCTAGGACCCGCGAAAGGGGGAGGGGGTGGGGCGGCCTCCACGTGCCCGGCAGGATTTGCCGGGGAGGGGGTGGTGGTGGTGGAATGGACAAAACCTGATCCCGGCGCCGGGGACGAGGTTTGAGAGTTCAGGGAGGAGAGGCGTGGGTCTGCGGGTGGAGAGCAAGCCGATCTGCGGATACCTGAGTCCTGGAGCAGCGGGCGGGATCTGCTCTGGCGCGCACCAGGATTGAAGTTTGGCCCGAGAAGTAGATAGTAGATGCCGGGCGCGGGGGGTGGGGTGTGTGCGCGCGGCGGGATTGAATGAAGGCTGCGCTCGCACTGCCCGGCCGGCGGGGACTGGCTGGGGGCAGACCCTGGCTCACTCTCAGTCTGCCGCGCTTCTAGAATGTCCTACCTGGCTCCTGCTGTCATTGCTGCTGCTGCCTCTGGGGCTCCCAGCCCCTCTGGACGGCCCCCTGCGCCTCATCTGTGACAGCACAGTTCTGGAGAGATACATTGTGGAGGCCAAGGATGCAGAGAACGTCACGGTGAGGCCCCCTCCTTGGTCCACCCCGCAGGACTGACTCTTGGGGCTCCAGCGGTCTCCTCCTCTCTGGTCCAGGAACCTGGTGCTTGGTTCGAGATGGAGTGAAAACCAAGCCAGATCCTCAACCCAAGATAGACGTGGTGTCCCCCAAAGCATGTCTGGAAGCTAGGCAGGAGGCAAAGCCTGGGCGTCATGGGCCGAGAGCCAAGGCCCAGGGTCCCCAGGGCCGCTGACTCCCCCACTGCTTTTCAGATGAGTTGCACTGAAGGCTGCAGCCTGGGTGAGAATATCACTGTCCCAGACACCAAAGTGAACTTCTGTGCTTGGGAGAAGATGGGGGTGAGTGAAAGTTTTCCTTCCTCTTGGTGTGCATGCTTGTGTGTGTTCCTGACAGGGTAGAAATGAGAGAAGAAACCAAGTAGCAAAGATGCTACTCATTCATTCATTCATTCATTCAGTGAATGTTATTGGGAGCCTGTTTGCTCAGCCTGGCTGCTGAGTTGGGGAGGAAGGAAGAGGTGACAGAGGACAGCTGACTCCAACTCTTTGCTCCTCTAGGTGGGGCAGCAAGCTGCAGAGGTGTGGCAAGGTCTGGTGCTGCTCTCAGAAGCCATGCTTCAGGGCCAGGCCCTGCTGGCCAACTCCTCCCAGCAGTCAGAGACCCTGCAGCTGCACTTGGACAAAGCTGTCAGCGGCCTTCGCAGCCTCACCTCACTGCTTCACTTGCTGGGAGCTCAGGTGAGCAGGAAGGACTTGGGCACTTCCACTTATCTTTTCTGTAAGATAGAAGGAAAAGGCTGGATGTAGTGGCTTGGTGCTTGTAATCTCAACACTCTGGGAGGCTGAGGCAGGAAGATTGCAAGTTTAAGCCCAGCCTGGACAGTTTACCAATTTAGCAAGATTTTGTCTCAAAATAAACAATAAAAAGAATAGAGGGCTGGGGATTTAGCTCAGCAGCATAAGCACCTGCCTAGCAAGCTCAAGGTTGAGAGTTTGATCTCTGATACCAATAAAAAAAAAGAAAAAGAAAAAAAGAAATATAGTTCAGTGCAAAGACCCTGGATTCAATTGCCAGTCCTGTAAAAAGAAAAAGAAAAAGAAAAAAAGAGTAAAAAGGATTCTGCTGAGGAATACTGGTGCTCTCCATGTCCCCCATTCTGTCCCTGATCCCATTTCCATCTGGGTCCCCAGCACCATGGTAACCTCTTGTTTTCCCCGACAGAAAGCACCCATCTTGCCTCCAGATGCAGCCTCCCCTGCTCCACTCCGAACATTCCCTGTGGATACTCTGTGCAAACTCTTCCAAGTCTACTCCAATTTCCTCCGGGGGAAACTGAAGCTGTACACAGGGATGGCCTGCAGGAGAGGGGACAGGTGACCAGGTGCCTGCCCCGGGCTCATTCACAGCCTGCTCACCATCACCACCACCACTGCCACCGCCTGTGCCACACCTTCCCTCTGCCACTCCCAACCCTCCAGCAGCTGTCTCCTCAATGCCAGCCTGTTACACGGACACTCCAGTGCAGCGATGACATCTTGGGGACCCGAGAAACTGTCCAGAGCTCAGCTCTGAGACCTAAGGATGTCACAGGACCAGCCTGAGACCCCAAGCAGGAGAAATACAGGGGATAGCTTTAAACTCAGGCAGAGCTGCGCGGAGGAGACGCCTGACCTCACTTGGTGCTCTGCAGAGCTGTGATATCGGCACAGGCTCTGGAGGCCGACGCTTCTTTCTGCACCCTCCAAGCAGGGACAGGATGGACTGGAGAATTTAGGTGGCAACCATGAATTCTCTAGGTCTTGTGGCAACTCCCATGGCTACTGGACAATGGGGGTGGGGGCTAGAAAGATGGGACAGGGGCTGGTTCCTGGCTGTCATGGAAGTGTGTGTCTAAATTTTTCATGTTTTTAAACCTCACTGCTAAGAGCTGAATCCACCAGCATGGCCCTTGGTCGTTCTGTTTCCCCAGAAGCCTCCACTCCCATCCTGGCAGCAGGGCGTCAGATCTGGGAAGTTGGAGATGGAGGGGGCTGGGCCCTACGTGCTGCCTCACATGGCCTGGGTGACCTCTTGACCCTACTGGGCCCGAGGCCACAGGCTCTGCCCACGCTGGTCAATAAGGAGGCCCCAGTCAAGGTTGTCCCTCAGTGGGCAGCTGCCAGCCCGCCAGCCTGCCGCCACGACAATCATTTAGCTGTCATTAAGGAAATGGGAGTCCAGAGGAGGTAGGGTTCCCTTTGGAAAGGGGCTACCCTGCCTCTCCTCTTAGGCCCTTTGAGTTATCCCACATCCCTGCATCAGCTTCCTAGCTTAGCATGTAACCCCCATTTTTAATCTAGTGGTCTGGGGACTGTCAGCATTTGGGGCCCAGCATGCACCTTGCAGAAGAGCAGGTGGACAGGTGCAGCAGGAGCCGCCTTCATGGGCTATTGTCTTATTGGGCTCTTGCTCTGTGAAAAGCGCCATCCTGGCAGTCCCCTACATGTTTTCACACAACCCTATGAGAAGTTCCTGCTGCCATTCCTATTGAGCAGAGGAAGAAGCAAAGTTCCAGGCCAAGAAAAGAGGGTTCCCAAATTCCCCCATTTCTCCTTCCCTCATCTGCTCTTTTCTGCCTTCTCTCTCCTGGGGTGACAGGCATAGCCCTGAGACCCAAGAAACCCAGCCTCTACCCTTTTCTGCAGGGTGAGAGGAATTCATCAGAATGAACCCAGTGTCTCCCCATTGAGTTACGTTCTTTTATTTTTCATTGTGAGACAGAGTGTAGCTAAATTGATAAATTATCTAGATTGGGCTCTAACTTCTGGTCCCCCTGTGTTGGCCTCTCGGTGCTGGGATTACAGCTGGATGCCACCATGTTCAGCTGCAGCTTCCACTCTTGATCCTGCTTCTAATTCTGCCCTTGACTCTGGACAATGACTCAATTCCTTCCTAGAAGTAATGCTTCACCTGCAAAGAAAGTTTCACCCAGCAAAAGATGCCACAGAACTGTGTGGGGACCTCCATCACAGCCATTATCCTGTAATTGTTGGCTGGTCTTTCTGTTTCTAAAACAAAACACAGAGATTTCAGCCAGTATCTCTGCACGTATGCAAAGGAGAGAGAAAATGTTTTTGCAGTCGTGGCAGGAAAAATTACAGGTGGAAAGATTGCAGATTTAAACTCAGCCTGAGCAACTTAGTGAGACCACATCTCAAAAGAGAAAATAAGAAGGCCTAGGGATGTAGCCTAATGTGAAGGCCCTGGGTTCAAACTCCATTACTGGCTCTAAAGAAAGGACGTAGAGGCGAAGAGAAAGAACAAAAAATAAAAAACAGGTTAGAAGTTGGAGGGTACTATAATTACCAAATATTGGGGAGATGAGAGAGAAAGGTCGAACTGGGGTAGGAGGACTGGACAAAGGGAGGACCGCCCCCCACCCCCGAATTTCCCCTTGGCTAACCTGCGGTAGTTCCTGGGTTACAGTGCCCTCTTCAGGTACCATTGGGAACTGCCAGAAAAATTACAAGCTTTGGAATCCCGGAGGGTCCTGAGGCTGGCATTTCAATACAAATCTATACTGTGGTTTCCTCAAGTGACATCTGACATCTCCCCACTGCTGTGGGTCACTAAGGGACAAACCTCCCCTTAGGTGGGTGAAATTGGATCTGGCAGACTTGTTTTTAAGTCTGAGGAATCCAGCTAATAATTGACAGCTGGGACCTGAACAAAAGATTTAGGACTCATAACTCCAAAGTCTTGTCCTCCCCTCAGCTTGATTTGTTGTCTAAGACACAGGCATCCCAGCACAGAGTAGCTGGCTCTTTTTTCTCCCCAGGATTCAGGGTCACTGACTTTCTTCCTCTACTTCTCTTCAAGCTCCTTACTGCTTTTAACTTTTCAAAAGAGCGTTGAATCAGAATTCTGTGGTCACCCCGGAAGGGATTTATTCCACACTTGCGGGATGCCAAACTTTGCCCCAGTGCCAGAAAATGTGACACAACATTCAGTCCGCTCCACACAGAGGCCTGGGAGAGAAAAGATGAGAAGCGAGCAAATTAGACCTTGTCAGCTTGCTGTGTGACTGAGGGCCTAGATGGAGCAGCCCTGAGGCCTGGGAAGAAAAAAGCCTCAGCATCAAGAGAACCTCATGGGGCCCAGAGAGTCTGGCTGAGAGGTGCAGACACACCGAAAGGGTCCCCCCAGGAGAGATTTCCTCTGGTAATACTGACGATGTTGCTAATTAAAGTCACATTGGATCTCTGGCACCCACACGACTGGCTGTGATTCCCATCATAACACCACGAATCAGCGGCAGACTAAGTGTTACCCCCAGCTGTCACATAGGGAGGCCAAATTCCCCTAGGCAAGTGACCAAGCCAGCTCTGCTGACTTCCTGGCATGGACAGGAGCTGGCGCACTGCAATTCTGAGACTGTCTAATAGTGTCAATCTGCTGCTGTAGGAGCTCAGTGATTTACAAGGAGCTCTCCTGACATTCCTTCGTTTGCTGTCCTAAACCTATGAGGGAGGAAGGGATGGAAAGGGGCCCCCATTTTGGAGAGGAAACAGGAGCCCAGCCAGCCACTCAAGCCCCCCAGGAAAGGGCCAGCTCAACCCTACATGTGAGCTTGAGTCCTCCCCAGCCGAATCAGGGTGGCCAAACAGCTGCCTGGGGCTTCCTCCGAAGTCAACCGAGTCCTTACCTCAACTTCTGAGTCTGACTTAGCTAAATGAGATATTTTCACCGTTGGAATCTAAGCTGAATACTATGATGCTATTGTAACCTGGTGAGGCTAATTCTACCATAAAACGGCGACAAAGATTATTGGTGCCTTGGTTACTTCTGTCTTGCGGCTGAGACAAAGAATCCAACGTCCAAAATTAAAGGAAGAAAGGTTTATTTAGCTCACAGTTTGCAGAGGTCTCAGTCCATAACCAGCTGGCTCCAAGGCAAAGCTGCATCTCAGACAGACATCGCAGACCAGAAACAGTTCATGATGGCAGAAAGTAGCAAAGACAAGCAAGGGGCCTTGATGGCATTTTCTGCCCCTTTTATCAGGCTACTCAGGGCAGGTAGCACTCACACCCTTAATCCTAGTCTTTTTGAGCCTAGCATTCCACACACTCTAGATTCAACCGTGTTTTTTTAAAGCCCCACCTATGACCCCATGAGGCTCTGAGTAGAGGGTAACTACACAGAAACCATAATAGCTGGCAACCGAAAAACAGAGCGGTGGAGTTTCCCAGCTTAGAAGAGTCCCATCAAAATGTCTAAACTCACTTTTTGATTTTGTTCAAAATTAGCCAGGTGTGGTGGTGCGACACCTGGAATTTCAGCACTCTTAGATGTTGAGGCAGGAGAATCACAACTTCGACTCAGTATGAATAACTCAGCAAGATCTTGTCTAAAACAAAGCAAAATAGGATGTAGCTCAATACAATCGGCCCTGGGTTTGGTCCCCAATACCTTGAAAAAAATTAATTACCAAGTCAAGTGTGATGGTGCATACCTGTAATCCTAGCTACTTGGGAGTCTGAGGTAGGAAGATTGTGTGTCCCAGAGTTCAGGGCCAGCCTGGGCAACATAACCAAGAAAACATTTCAAAGGAGGAAGAGGAAGAAGAAGAAAAGGAGGAGGAACCCCAGAAAATCTTGTAAATACATATGTAAGTTTCAGATTTTTAAAAAATACACGACAGCATGATTTAATCTGTCTCCCTTCCTAAAATGGGATTAAAGTCCATAAAAGGTGAAGAAGGTACTTAAAGATGCACAGAACAGGGGGGTGGGGTGGGGTAGTCCTGTTTTCGATTTTCTGCATTTTCTTTCTTTTTTTTTTTTTTTTTTTTTTTTTGGTCTTTTACCTTTTTATCGGTACTGGGGATCGAACTCACAACTGCCTGCTTGCAAGGCAGGCGCTTATGCTGCTGAGCTAAATCCCCAGTCCCGATTTTCTGCATTTTCCCAAATCCCAGCTTCTCATACTATATTCCTACAGTTCCTAAGCTTATCAAGTCTCAGGGTCTCTGCAGCCTTGCCCGCTCGGGCTTCTCCAAATGCAGAATGCAGCGGGCCACCCCCAGCTTCCTGTCCTGTGTTGAGCTCCGATCCTCACAACCTCCAGGCTGACTGGAAGCTGTGACCACCAAACACTGGGGTACCAAGCAGGTCAGCAAAAGCAGCTGTCAGAGGACTGATTGCCCAACCAGGACAGATTGGGGATCAATCAGTGCTGCTGTCCCTCCTTGGGTTAACTATCTCCTGGCCCTGACCCTTCTGGTTACTACTCTGCTGACCCAGCATGGTGGAGGGGGAGATAAGAGCTTGAGATGGAGCCCAAGGAGGCCCAGGGCTCTCTCCTCAGATTGGACCCTTGTATCTTGCTCTTTCGCACTGAGTTACATTCCCAGCCCTCTAAATTCTTTTTACTTTTTCTTTTTTTAATTTTGAAATAGGTTCTCACGAGTTTGCTCAGGCTGGCCTAAAACTTGGGATTCTGCTGCCTCGGTTTTCTGAGTAGCTAGAAAACCAATGGTACCACCACACCCAGTTTACAGAGGGCCTTTCTGACCTTTCTCCTACACACTGTGCAGCACTAAGCTGGCCCCTTGCCGAGAGCTCAGAATAATGACCAGGGAAAGGCTGGGCGCCTCAAGCCTAGATGTGAGATCGAGTTGGGCTGCTGAGGCAAAATGAATGAAATAGAAGGTTTGGGAACGGCTGCTTGTAGCGGGGTCAGCAAATCTGGGCCGAGGACAGCTCAGCACACTGGCCAGAGCCATGTCCAGCCCCGTAGAGCTGTGTGTGCATGGAAGGCATCAGGGGGGTTGTTTTGCTTTGCGTGTTGGGGATCAGACTTAGGACCTTGAGCAGGTGCTCCACCCAGCAGAGTCACAGCCCCACCTTCAATGGTCTTTAAAAAGCAGGAAAACTACCCTTCTGGCTGAGATTGTATATAGACCTGCTGTTTAGGAAGCTGATAAAAGTGGGGCTGAGCCAGGTATGATAGCCCAAACCTGCAGTCCCAGCACTGGGAGGCTAAACTTGTAGGAAGACTACAAGTTTAAATCTAACCTGGGCAACCTAACCACTGAAGAAATCCTGACTCTAGTTAAAAGCTGCTTTTAAAAAGATTATAGAGAGCTCAGTGCAGAAGCTCTGGGTTCAGCTCCTGGGTCTACATGTGTACCTCTGGTCTGGCCTCTCTCAGTCTCTTGCTATGTACAGCATGTGACACTCAACAAGGGGACATGTTCTGAGACATGTGTCATCAGGAGGTCCTGTTGTCGGCACATCTCAGAGTGCACTTACACAAGACTAGATGGCGTGGCAGCCACTGCAGGTGGCCTCCTCATGTCACCACGAGACGGGATAAACAGGGGCTGGCTGAAGCTATGGAGCTGGCATCATGTGGCAGACTGACTGAAAACTGTTTGCTTGTTTGTTTGTGGCACTGGGGATGGAACTCACATGCTCGGCAAGCTATGTATGCTTATAAACAGCTGGCAGTGTGGTGGGTTCGTTTCCAGGGTTGCCACGAGCATGTGAGTCATGCACCGAGACATTAGGACACTAGGGTAGCTGTGATGTCACTAGAAATACGAGATTTCAGATCTGTCATAATCTTTTGGGATGATCACCATACATGCAGGAATGTGATGCTGTGGGGCCTGCACATGCTAGGCATGGTGGTGTAATCACAGCACTCAGGAGGCTGATACAGGAGGATCATCACAAGATCCAGGCCAGTCTGGCTACATAGTGAGTTTAAGGGCAGCTTGTACTCCAAAGCAAGACCCTGTCTCAAAATGCCAAATTAACAAATAAATACAATACAATAAAATAAATATGCATGTTCCTTGTGCTCATTAAGGACTTTATATAAGTGGGATCACACTGTACGTATTTTTTTCTGTGATTCACCTCTTCCGTTTAATAATATGGCTAGGTGCTTTTTCTACTATTACAGTATACAGATATACCTACAACAGTTTCTTTTTTCTTAAATTTTAAATCAAGAATAGACTTTTTTTTTTTTTTACCAGTACCAGTGATTGAACTCACAACCACGCACTTACAAGGCAGGTGCTTATTCGGCTGAGCTAAATCCCCAGCCCCAAAATAGACTTTAATAAACAGTATTAGTAAGTATTACTAAGTAATAGTGTCAAGTAATGATTTTTAAAAATTATTTATGAGCTGGGCATGGTGGCTCACACCTGTATTCCTAGCACTCTGGGGGCTGAGGCAGGTGGATTGCTGCAAGTTCAAGACCAACCTACAAAGTGAGCTCAAGGCCAGCCTGAACTGCATAGTGGGATCTTTTCTCAAAAAATAAAAAATAAAATATATATATATATGTCATTTAGTATTTAGCATCTTAGGTACTTCAGTGGTTTCAAGAACACTCACATTGTTCGTTAACCATCACCACCATCCACCTTCTGAGGCTGAGACAGAAGGACTGCAATCCTCCAGACTTATTTGCCAAGAGAGGAGGCAAATAAGCCTCCCTTCCCTTTCCTCCCCTCCATTTTTTTCCTTTTTGTTTCCTTTCTTTTTTTCTTTCCTTCCTCTTTCTCTTCTTTCTTTCTTTCTTTCTTTCTTTCTTTCTTTCTTTCTTCCTTCCTTCCTTCCTTCCTTCCTTTCTTTCTTTCTTTCTTTCTTTCTGTCTTTTTCTGTTTCTGGTGCTGGGAATCATACCCAGGGCCCTTAGCAAGCTAAGCACAACCTCTGTCATTGAGCTACACTCCTAGACCTCAGAACTCTTCCATCTGCAAAACAACCTCTGTACCCAACTAAACAGCACCATCTTATTCCCTCTCTTCCCCTCCTCAAGGCCAGGGCCCGTGTGTCCTGGGCGTGCACTTTACCACTGAGCTACACCCCCAGCCCATCCCTCCTATTAAGGCTGGTAATACTTTGTGTATGTGTGTGCACACACACGCGCGCGTGTGTGTCTGTGTGTATGTGTGTGTGTGTTACTCACCCCCAGCTTGGTGGTCCCCTGGACTTCTTCCACCTCTAGGCTGTTAGGACCAGAACATACATGTACAGACATGTGTTTCAGATCTTTGCTTCAGCCCTTTGAACATATACCTACAAGTAGAATGTTTGGTCACACAATGTGACAGTTGATCTTGTCACACTGAGAGATGCCTGGGAGATTGGCAAAGCATATTTTCGAGTGTGTCTGGTGGATCTTGGGGATCATATCTGGTCCTGGCCCCCTTTCCCTCGGGCTCCTCCCCTCTCCTCTGCTCCCCAGCTGCCAGGAACTGAGCGGCTTCCCTCCATCACACCCTTCTGCCCTTCTGCCATGATGTTTCTGCCTCGGACCAACCCAACCAAGGACTGAGCTCCAAAACCATGAGTCCAAATAAATCATTTCTTTCTTGAAATTGTGGGGGCTTTGTTTTTGTTTTCTTTTGTTTGCTTTTGTATTTTTGAGACAGGGTTTCACTATGAAGTTCAGGCTGGCCTTGAACCCACTTTGAGGCCCAGGCTGGCCTTAAACTCACAGTGATCCTCCTGCCTCAGCCTCCCGAGTGCTTGAATTATAGATGTGTGTCACCAGTCCTGGATGTGTGTATATTTTGTTCTGGCAACACAAAAGCTCACTAACTAGTACATAGTAATTCTATTTTTAACTTTTTGAGGAGCATTTTTCTTGTTAATGCCTGCATTCCATTTCTTATACATATTTACTGATAAGCATTAAAATCATCTTGAAGACTTTTTTCCTATTGTAAACAATATAATTAACCCTGTAAGGTAGGTACATCTCTGCACAGATGTACTCGTGCTTCTGTGGGAAGATTCCTACAAGGGAATGTGGGATCAATGATGTACACATGTACTCAGTGTGTTGGTGGTGGTGGCTGTGGTTCCAGCTACTTGGGAGGCTGAGGCAGGAGAATAGCTTGGTCTCAGGAGTTCAGGGACATCTAAACAACATAGTGACACCACATGCCAGGAAGAAAAAGAGTGAAGAAGGAAAACTAAAATAAGCATATCTGAAATTTAGGAGCCATGGTCAAGTCATATCCTTTCTTTTTTGCTTAAAGAGCTGTATTGTTTCTCACTTTTGTAACCGCTACCATCACATGAGTAAATCACCAGTGCTTCAAAAAATATGTAACAGTGTCCGATTGCCTTCCACACACTTTTACTTTGCTTGGTTATTGAGACAGCCTTTGGTTATGCAGGCCAGGCTGGCCTCAAGCTTGCACCCTCCTGCCTCAGCTTTCACAGCGGCTGAAATAACAGGCCTGCAACGTACATTTTTACTCGCCTCCTTTCTTTCCTGCACCACTGAGGATTAAACCTAAAGCCTCCACACAGACCTACATTCCCAGTCCTTTTCCTACTTTTTATTTTGATACAGGGTTTCACTAAGTTTTTTTTGTTGTTGTTGTTTTGTCTTTTTCTTTTTTATCTGTACGGGGGATCAAACTCACAACCACACACTTGCAAGGCAGGTGCTTAGGCCACTGAGCTAAATCCCCAGCCCCCACTAAATCTTTAGGTTGTCAAATTGTCCAAGATGAGTTCAAACTTGCAATCCTCTTGCCTCAGCCTCCAGAGGGCCCAACATACATTTTGTTTTGTTTTGTGCCTTTTTCCTTTTTATCGGTATCAGGGATCGAACTCACGACTGCCTGCTTGCAAGGCAGGCGCTTATGCCACTGAGCTAAATCCCCAGCCCCGCCAACATACATTTTTTTTTTCCCAACATACATTTTTTTTTTTTTTTGGCTTTTCCCTTTTTACCGGTTCCAGGGATCGAACTCACGACTGTCTGCTTGCAAGGCAGGCGCTTATGCCACTGAGCTAAATCCCCGGCCCCCCAACATACATTTTTATCACCAGAGTACTTTACTGTGCTACTTTCATGCTGTCCAACTCTTATTGTTATCAATCTTTTATATTTTTGTCAATACGACAGTTGTAGGTTTTTAGCTTTAACTCCCAGCCAACCTTTATTCTCCAGGGCAGAACCAGAGATTTTTTTACAAGGTTGGTGTTATATGAGTACGTTGATGCTTAGTAGGGAGGTAGAACCTCTTTTGAATCCTCTGTGACTGTCTTCTTCGATTCTTTGCCCATGGCTGCTTTTAGTGCTTTCAGGGCTTGGCCCCCCCATTACCTCTGCTCCCACTGCCCTTTATAGAATTTTGAGATTGAAATGACTTTCTGCTGGAACCCTGCAGACAATGTTCCGCCACCTCTTGGAATCCATGGTTGCCATTGGAAAGCTCAACGCCATGCTGATTCCTCAATTCTTTTCTCTCTGGAAGGGTTTCAGGATCCTCCACTTGCGCCTGATAGTCTCAAATTTCCTGAAGTCCCTTTGGTGCGTCTCTGTAGGCAGTGTACCTTAGTATTTTGGGCCTGGGGCAGTTTCTTGTAAGTCTTTCCTCTTTTAAAATAATTTTTAAACGGGCTGTGGTGGCTCACAACTGTAATCCCGGCACTTGGGAGGCTGAAGCAGGAGGATCGCTGTGAGTTCATGACCAGCCTGGGCTATGTAGTGAGTCTAAGGCCAGTCTGGACTTCAGGACTCCTTTTTTTTTCTTTATTCTGGAACTCACAACCATGCACTTGCAAAGCAGGCGCTTATGCTGCTGAGCTAAGTCCCCCACCTCAGTCTGGACTGCATAGCAAGACCATGTCTCAAAGGAAAATAATAATAATAATAATTTCTTTTCGTTTGTTCCCTCTTTCTGAGCTCTTTTTGTTTGACATGAGCCTTCTTGTATTGATCCCCTATGTTTCTCTCTTTTCTTTTTCTTCCCTATTTTATTTCACTTGGTTTCAATTTCTCACTCTTCTGTTGGATTTTCAATTTTACTCTCATAGCTTTCATTTCGTAGGGCTTTCTCGTTTTTTTCTGTTTTCTCATTGCCTCCTCTGAAGGCTGCCAATCAGGGCAGTGCAGAAGCGTGTAATAGTGGCCAAGAGTCTGGCATGGTGGTTCATGTGCCTGTAATCCCAGCACTGCAGGAGGCTGAGGCAGTAAGATTTGGAAGTTCCGGACCAGTCTGGGCAGCTTAGTGACTTTTTGAGACCCTGCCTCCAAATAAAAAATAAAAAGCATCAAGGTGGTAGCTCCAAGCACAGGCCTTGGGTTCAATCCCCAGGGCTAGGATGCGAGAGAGAAGAGTGACCCAGGCTCCTCACTCTGCCTCCCCTCCTCCCGAGGGCAGCCTCTGAATCCCTCATGGCTTCTCCAGTTTGGATTCTGGTGCTGCTGCTGGGCGCTACCTGGGACCAGGGCCGCACGTCTTTTCCAATTGGGTAAGCTGGGTTCAGCAAGGAATGTGAAAGGGGCGTCTGGGCTGGCTCTGACGAAGGTGGAGGGCACAGGTGAGGTAAGGAAAAATACCAAGTCCTAGAGAGGTAGGAGGAGCTCAATGGGAGGTGGGGGACCTGACTCTTTACGGAAATGGATGCTGCACAGCCCCAGGCCTGGAACTGAGGACCAACAAAGGATCCAGAGATGGGTGAGGAGGCCAGAAGTCAGGCCCTTCACAAAGTGAGACTTCAAGCAGGAGGCACAAGAAATGACCGATGAAGCCAGGCGTGGTAGCACATGCCTGTGATCCCAGCACTCTGGGAGGTTGAAGCAGGAGGGTCACAAGTTCCAGCCTTATTAAGACCCTGTCTCAAAATGAAAACTAAAAAGGGCTGGCAATGTAGCTCTGTGCAAAGGTCCTGGATTTAATCCCCAGTACTACAAAACTAACAAAAACAGCCCCACAAATGGCAGATGCCTTTGTGGCCTGGAGGTTGAATGGAAGGGATTTGAACAAGCATAATTTGAACAACGAAAACAAAGTGCTGTTCTAGGTGGCCCTTCCTGCCCGGCAGGGGCAAAGGCTTCTCCGTGAAATCTGCAGGGTAAGGAGCAAAGGCAGGGTCACCTTTGCTATCCATATAACTGTTGGGTGGGTTGTGACAAGGAACTGGGGACCCATAAAGTCCTTACATATGGACAAAAGCTTGGGCTTCTCTATCAAAGATCTCAACTCTAAGGACAGAGACATTTCCCAGGGAAATGTTAGTACTAGGAATTGAACTCATGACTTTGTACTTGCCTGGTAGACACTTAAGCCACTAAGCTAAATCCCCAGCCCAGCCTTAGAATTCTTGATAGTGACAAGATTGACATCTGTTTTTTGCTTTCTCCAGGTCAGATTCAAGCACACAAGCTCCACTGGACTGGGAATTGGCTGGTCAGAGCACAGAGGACGGCTGTGAGTTGGGACCTGGACTACTTAGGCCTTCTCTTCCTCCTCGGGACCCCTGTTCTGGCACCTCATGCCACTCCCTAACCCAAGGTGGCCTCATAGGTGCCCTCGGGGCAGGGCAATTCTATAAACATGGAATAAGTGTGTAAAGGTCAATCCTTGGGCAACAGAGGGCCAAGGGAATGGTAGAGAAGCAGAATCCTGGAAGGCTGAGACAGGAGGATGGCAACTTCCAGCCCAGCTTAGGTAATTTGACAAGGTTCTTTCAAAATAAAAATAAACAAATAAAGTCTGGGGACACAGCTCAGAGCAAAGGCCTAGAGTTCAATCCCTAGTATAAAAAAAGCTGCAGAGATTTGGGAGCAGAATTTTTGAAGAGAAATTTATAGAGAGTGAGTGGGGCAGGCAGAATCAGAGGTCCAGGTGATGATAAACTGACGTAGGAGTTGATTCAGCTGGACAGATAGACCTCATCGTGGCAGCACATGGTGGTTCACCGGTTTGTTGGTTGGTTTGCTTGTTTGCAGGACTAGGGATGGAACCCCAGACCTTCGCAGCGACTTACATCCCCAATCCTTTTTATTTTCAGACTAAGCTGCTCATTTGTCCAGGCTGGGTGAACTTGCCATCCTCTGGCTTAGCCTCTGACAGTTGCTGGGGTTACAGGTGTGCCCGGCCAGCACATAGCCCCAAGTTTAGCTGCAGGGCGCAGGACTCCCACCTCCCCGCCCCGCCGCGCTCCGCCCCCTGCGGCGATCTGGCCCCGCCCCACCCCACCCCTCCCTTGCCTCACCGCTGCGCTCTCTCCCAGCCGTCCTGGCGCAGTGTGATTTCGAGGACAACTCCAAGCCGCTCTGTGAATGGTCCCAAGTATCCGCAGATAATGGTGACTGGACTCGAACCAGGGGGCTCGCCCGGGCTAGCACCTCCGGGCCCCCCGGGGGGTTCCCCAATGGAGGTGAGGGGCCTGGGGAAAGGGAGGATGGGTGGGTGGGGACTGCGGGAGCGGACCCGGGCACTGAGATGCGGAGGAGGTGGCAGCACTACGTGGGGGTGGACCGCTTGGTCGGCAGCGTCCTGACTCAGCCTCCTGCAGAGGGCTACTACCTGCGCATGGAGTCGGGCAGCTTCCCCAGGGGCGGCGTGGCGCGCCTGCTCAGTCCGATGCTTTGGGAGTCGGGTCCGCTGTGCCTGCGCTTCGCCTACCACATGTTCGGGCTGTCGTCGGGCTCGCAGCTCCGGCTGCTGCTGCTCACCGGCTCGCAGAACACCCAGCCCACCGTGCTCTGGAAGGTGGAGAACACCCAGAGCCCCTCCTGGATGCCCACTGCCGTCACCATCCCCGCGGAGCTCGCCCTGCCCAGCCAGGTGAGGCCCACACAGACAGACGCCCCTGCTGCCCACTGTGGGAAGCTGGGGGTCAGGGCCCACAGGGTGGGCAGTGACAAGGGTGGCTGCGGCCGGGCCATCTGAATTCAGGTACCAGAAGCCAAAGCTGTGGACTCACAGGGTCGGGGTTCCTATGTTCCCTGTCCGGCAGCTGATATTCGAGGGGATGAGGGGCAGCACCGCCTACCTGGACATCTCTCTGGATTCCATCTCCATCCATCGGGGCACCTGCAATCGGGGTGAGTTTCCGTCTCCCCCTGCCTCGTGTGCTCTTTCTCCCCCTCACCCAGGACCCCCAGAAAAACTGCCCGGAGTGGCCAGAGTGGAGGCAGCCAGCCCCTTCTGCCCCATCCCTGGGACCTTTGAAGCAGCCTCACCCCAAAAAGAGCTGTGGGACACCTGGTCTGCAGTGAGCGACCATTCTAGGTGTCCCTGGACCATCTGTGTCTTCTTAGCTTAGGAAGTCCCACGGTCAAGGGAGATATGGTGGCACAGTCCTGTCATCCCAGCACTTGGGAGACTGAGGCAAGAGGATTGAAAGTTTGAGCCCTAGCGGCTGGGGATTTAGCTCAGTGGCATAAGCGCCTGCCTTGCAAGCAGGCAGTCGTGAGTTCGATCCCTGGTACTGATAAAAACGAAAAAGACAAAAAAAGAAAAAAGAAAAAAAAAGTTTGAGTCCTGCCTGGGGAATTTAGGGAGGCTCTGTCTTGAAGTAAAAAAAAAAAAAAAAAAAAAAAAAGGAAGTAAATGAATAAATAAAACCCTGGGGATGTAGCTTAGTGCAAAGGCCCCAGGTTCAGTCCCCATTACTGCCCTGCCCTGCCAATAAAAGAAGAAAAAAGAATCTCACTTCTCAGGAAACCCCGTGTTCCAGGAGAACCTGGTTGTGAGGTCACTCTTGCTCTTAGTACTCCCTCAATTGGTCCAGAATGAGGCCTGTGGGCTCTTACACATTCTTTTTTTCTTTTTCTTTTTTGTCTTTTTTCTTTTTATTGGTACCAGGGATCGAACTCACAACTGCCTGCTTGCAAGGCAGGTGCTTATGCCGCTGAGCTAAATCCCCAGCCCCGGCTCTTACACATTCAAGGGGCGCAGATTTATAGAACCGAACAAAGAATCTGGGGAGCTGGCTGAAGGTAGCCAGGGCTGAATGGCATAGGCACCGGGCTGGGCCTTCTGTACCCATGACCTGACTCTCGGTCATGCATGCCAGGCACTAGTGTGCCTAGCTGATAGAGGGTTAGGGGATGAGTGTCAGGAACCCAGCTGTAAGCCATCGGGGTGTGGGGGCTCCAGAGTGCACCAGGCTCGGCATGGGGTGGAGGCTGGAACACAGCTGGGACTCCAGCCTGGCCGCCCTTTCTCCAGCTGCTACCCCTTGGAGAAAGCTACATGGGCCTTCTGTCCTTCCTCCCCCCAGTCTGCGTGATGCAGACGTGCAGCTTTGACATCCCAGATGACCTCTGTGGCTGGAGCTGGGTCCCCACTGCATCTGGGGCCAAGTGGAGCCAGTGGAAGGGACCATCGGGGAAGCCGGGCGTGGGGCCGAATGATGACTTCTCCAGCCCTGGTAGTGAGTACTGACTGCACCTTCGCCCTGAGGTGACCTCTGTGCACCCCATAGCAACCGCCTTGGGCCAGTTCCCGTGAACCCCAGAGTGCTCAGCCTCTCATAGCTCAGGTTTCATGACAGGAAACAAACCCCAAGCACCCCTACCCTGGATCCCCAAACTGCCACCTGACCACTGGTGCTTGACAGATCCAACCCTCCTGCCCCTTCCTTCTGTTGCTTGATGCCATCCGATTTCCCCACATTCATTCCTCATCTTCAGTGTCAGGTAGTGTCCTGAGCACTTCAGAATAAGTGTGCAAAACAGACATGGTGGTGCACATCAATAATCACAACTTTTGGGAGTATGAGGCAGGAAAATCATTGCAAATTCCAGGCCAGTCTGAACTACATAGCAAGACCCTATCTCCCAGGCAGATGGGCTGGCTGTACAAAAACCCTGAGGTAGTAGCAGGCTTGAGACACAGAAAAAACCATTGAGGGACAAGAGTCTGGCTACTGTTTCTAAAAGGATTTTTGTTGGTGGTGGTACCAGGAATTGAACTCAGGACCTTATGCTTGGCAGGCAGGCACTTATACCACTGAGCCATATCCCTGGCCCTGGCTGCTGCTTCTGAAAGGCTGCTCAGCTCCTGGTGGCAGCACTCAGCTCCTCACCCAGTCTGGTCACCTCTGGGAGGCTTGAAGGGCTCAGCCAGGGTGATGCATGTGTAGTCCCATCTCAGTGCTACCTATTCCAGGTGGCTGCAGGACTCCCCTGGGCCAAATCTGCATCCTCCTGGGACCTCTTCCCTGCGTCCCTCCCACCTGCCAGCCCTTTCCTTTTGCAGGTGGCTTCTACATGCTCCTGGACCCCAAGTATGCCAAGCCAGGGCAGAAGTCGGTGCTCCTGAGCCCACTGAGCCACTCGACTGGCTGTCTGACACTGTCCTTCCACTATACCCTGTGGGGCCAGGCTCCAGGAGCAGCTCTTCTGGTCTACGGCTCAGTCTCAGGTTGTGGGGGGAGAAGTTGCTGGGTTTGCACCAAGCCCAGTGCATCTTTGAAGGTTGGGCTGAGGGCTGAGGGGGTGGGGTGCAGACAAGCCTCACCATGGAACTGAATCTGGGATATGTGTGGATGAGGCAATGGGGAGGGCCCCAGATTGTAGGCAAATGAAGGTGCCATGGAAGTGAGAGAGGACTGACACTTAGGGAATATTGCCCAAGTGTTCCCTCTGTGATTCAACTTCTGGGGTACAGGTTCAAAGTAATTTTTCACTCTCTTTGAACTTGCTCATCTGTCCAATTCTTTTATTTTAATACTGGGATTTACTTTTAACTTTGGGATAGTTTCATTAAATTGCTAAGTTGCCTAGGCTGAGTTCAAACCTACTATCCTCCTGCCTCAGCCTTCCAGAGTTCTGGGATTAGAGGTGTGCACCACCACAGCTGGCTGTATCTGACATTTTTTTTCCATTGTAGGCAGCATCCGGAAACACACACTCTTCTCAGGACAACCTGGATCTAACTGGCAGCCTGTTTCTGTCAATTACACGGGACAAGGACAGATCGAGGTACAGAGAAACAAAGGGTTGGCTCTTGCATGTGGCAGATTCCCCAGATGTTGAAGTGAATTGAAGGTCAAGGCACAGGAGCAGGGACCTGGGTCCCCAGATGGGAAGGTCATGTTGGGGGTTCTATTCCCTGTCTTTGCAGTTCAGCGTGGTGGGCGTGTTTGGTGAGACCCCAGAGCCGGCGGTGGCAGTGGATGAAGTCAGCATTGCTCCCTGTGAAGGTGAGAGTGGAAACCCCAGATTGGAGGTGGTAAGGAGCAGTGGAGAGCAGGGCTGGAGTTTCTCCAACCTCCCTCTCGTACCCACCAGAGAGCTTTCCCCAGTGTGACTTTGAAGACAGTGCCTATCCCTTCTGTGACTGGAGACACACCTTGGGGGACAGTGGCCAATGGGCCTGGGGAAGCGAAAACATGTCCACCCGTGGTGTAGGCTCCTTCGGAGAGGCCCTGTTTGGAGGTAAGGAGGCTGAGGATCTGGAGAGGCTGGCAGGTACCATGGAAGGAGGAGGGTATTGGAGGAGGCCCTTGGCTGCCGACAGGTGGTTGCTGGGAAACTGCCCTGACCTGGGCTGCAGACATCCGCACGGATTTGGTCAACGATGTTCACAGCTGCAGGATCACTGAGTGCTGCTCTCACTCAAGAAAATCCAGCCCTCCAACTCTGTGGAGCCCAAAGCTTCAAACTCTATCTCAGTTTTAGTTAGGACATTTGCAAGTGGTGGCTTAGAGGTTTGGTTTTCTTTTTCTTTTCTGTCATTTTCAGGTAAAAATCCCACTTGGAGTCAGCTGTGAGGTGCCAGGGGTGTAATCCCAGCATTCAGGGAGGCTGAGATGGGAGGACTGCAAGTTTGAGCCTAGCCTGAGTGACTTAGCAGCTTAGCCACATTCTGACTCAGAGTTAGAAAGTGGAAAAGAACTGGGGATGTAGTTCACTGTGAAGGACCCAGATCCGATCTCTAGTAACTCAGCCACACAAACAAAAGTCTAACATGGGCAGAGGTCTGCTTAGATGTCATGCAGAAGGCCAGCTTGGTTCTGGATGTTGAGTCTTATTTCAGCTGTCCCCCTCTTCCATCCAGGCGAGCACTATGTCTACCTGGATACCGACAGGTCCTCCCAGGAGGGACAGTTGGCGAGGCTGGTGAGCCGGCCCTTCTGCGCCCCAGGCAACGTCTGTGTGGAGTTTTCTTACCACATGTATGGTCTCGGATATGGTGCCACGCTCAGGCTTTTGCTGCAGAGCCCCGCGGGCAGCACCCCCATCCCACTCTGGGAGCGCATCGGGCCTCAGAAGCCCAACTGGCTAAACGCCTCTGTCACCATCCCTTCGGGACATCAGCAGCCCATGCAGGTGACACTGTGGGAATGGCCTGGAGGGGGAAAGGGTGGCTGGGACTGTTGAGGTTCCTCCAGAGTGGCCTTGGGCAAGGACAGGCCCTGCAGGGTTGCTGAATGGCCAGGGGTTCATTTTCTTTTTTCTTTTCTTTCTTTTGTCTTTTTGAGACAGGGTTTCACTATGTGGTTCAGGCTGGCCTTGAACTCACTTTATATCCCAGATTGGCCTCAAACTCACAGTGATCCTTCTGCCTCAGCCTCCCAAGTGCTGGGATATAGGTGCATGCTGCCACACCGGGTCTTATTTTCCTTTCTGTCCCACATTGCTTTCAGCTAATTTTGGAGGCCATCCGGGGGAGCAATGCTGCCTTTGTGGTTGCTGTGAGTTTCATCTTTATCAGTCAAAGGGCTTGTCGAGGTAAGGAGACACTCAAGGTCCCAGGAAGAGTCAGACCCGATGTGACCACCTTGGGCTGTCTGTCTCTATATGAACTCTGTGAAGTGCAAGCCCTCAATTGGATGTCCTGGCCAAGTCCAGTAAGCTTAGCTCTCTGGGTGGCTGAGGCAGGAGGATCAAAAACTCAAGCTCAGTCTGGGAAATTTAGCAACTTAAAACCTGTGTTAAAAAAAAAAGAAGAAGAATACAAAGCACTGGGGATATAGCTCAGTGTAAAGGCTCTGGTTTTAGTCCCCAATACCAGGAAAAGAAAAAGTAAATCCTCTTGCCAGGAGTTCCACACAGCTGACATGGTTTCTATACACCTGTTCACTTCCCCTGCACTATCAGGGTGCTTATTTGGGCAAACATGGCGGGTGAGGGTGGGGCATGGGGAATTGAACCCAAGACCTTTACACTAAGCTGCATTCCCAGCCCCTTTTTTTTTTCTTTTTCTTTTTTTTTTTGTCTTTTTCATTTTTATCGGTACCGGGGATCGAACTCACAACTGTCTGCTTGCAAGGCAGGTGCTTATGCCGCTGAGCTAAACCCCCAGCCCCCCCAGCCCTTTTTTAAATTTTTGATATAGGGGCTCACTAAATTGCGTAAGATAAGCTCAAACTTGCAGTACTCCTGCCTCAGCCTCCCGGAGTGCTGGGATTACAGAAATGTGCCATCATGCTTGACTAGTAAACTTGTCTTTGATGCCATAGATTTCTGGGACTGGATCTGAAACCTCTTACCTAGCACTTGTAAAGACAGGTTAAATGTCCTGTTTTTTCTTATGCTTCTTGTACCCCGCACACTGTCAGACATATGTTAGAAGCAGTTTCTTTCTTTTTTTTTTTTTGTCTTTTTCATTTTTATCGGTACCGGGGATCGAACTCACAACTGTCTGCTTGCAAGGCAGGTGCTTATGCCGCTGAGCTAAATCCCCAGCCCTAGAAGCAGTTTCTTGAGTGTTAGTTAAATGAGTGATGTCTGGGTTTGAGAGTTGAAGAAAAGGTGACCATGTGTCCCTTCATGCTCACCCACTGCAATTTGATGTGAATGAAGGGAAGGGTATAAATTTTCTTTTGGTACCAACAATCAAACTCAGGACCTTGTGCTTGCCAGGCCAACACTTATGCCACTGAGCTATTATCCCTGGCCCAGGATGGTTATGATTTTGACTAAACTCAAGGATTTGTTTTTCTTTGCAGCACCAGTGCCAACAGCAGTGCTTCCTACCACTTCCCCTATGGAAAAGTCAGAAAAACCTACAGTCCTCACAGAAGAACCCACTGTGCCTGCTAAAGAAATCACCGTCCGCATGGAAGGACTCGCCATTTCTACCAAAGAATCTACTGTCCCCACAGGAAAACCTGCCATTCGCACTGAATGGACCACTATCCTCACAGAAAAACTCACCATTCCCACTGAATGGACCACTGTCCCCACAGTTAAGCCCACCATTCCCACTGAAGGGGCCACGGTCCCCACAGAAAAACCTGCCATTTCCGCTGTGGAGACCCCTACACCCACAGAAAAACCCACCATTCCCACTGAAGGGACCACAATCCTCACAGAAAAGTCCACCATTCTCACTGAAGGGAGCACCACCCCCACAGAAAAGCCCACCATTTCCACTGAAGGGAGCACCATTCCCACAGAAAAGCCCACCATTCCCACTGAAGGGACCACCATCCCCACAGAAAAACCTGCCATTCCCACTGAAGGGACTACTGTCCCCACAGAAAAGCCCACCATTCCCATCGAAGGGACCACAATCCCCACAGAAAAGCCCATCATTCCCACTGAAGGGAGCACTGTCTCCACAGAAGAGCCCACCATTCCCACTGAAGGGATCACCACCACCACAGAAAAGCCCACCATTCCCACTGAAGGTTCCCCCATTCCCACTGAAGGGACCACTGTCCCCACAGAAAAGCCCACCATTCCCACTGAAGGTTCCGCCATTCCCACTGAAGGGACCACTGTCCCCACAGAAGAGCCCACCATTCCCACTGAAGGGATCACCATCCCCACAGAAAAGCCCACCATTCCCACTGAAGGGGCCACCATTCCCACTGAAGGGACCACCATTCCCACTGAAGGGACCACTGTCCCCACAGAAAAGCCCACCATTCCCACTGAAGGGACTACTGTCCCCACAGAAGAGCCCACCATCCCCCCAGAAGAGCCCACCATTCCCACTGAAGGGACCACCATTCCCACTGAAGGGACCACTGTCCCCACAGAAAAGCCCACCATTCCCATTGAAGGGACTACTGTACCCACAGAAGAGCCCACCATCCCCCCAGAAGAGCCCACCATCCCCACAGAAGAGCCCACCATCCCCACAGAGGAGCCCACCATCCCCACAGAAGAGCCCACCATTCCCACTGAAAGTATCACCATTCCCACAGAAAAGCCCACCATTCCCACTGAAGGTTCCACCATTCCCACTGAAGGGACCACCATCCCCACAGAAAAGCCCACCATTGCCACTGAAGGGATCACTATCCCCACAGAAGAGCCCACCATTTCCACTGAAGGGACCACCATTCCCACAGAAAAGTCCACCATTACCATTGAAGGAACCACCATCCCCACAGAAGAGACCACCATTCCCATTGAAGAGACCACCATCCCCACAGAAGAGACCACCGTTCTCACTGAAGTGACCACTGTCTCCACAGAAAAACCCACCATTCCCACTGAAGGGGCCACTGTCTCCACAGAAAAACCCACCATTCCCACTGAAGTTTCCACCATTCCCACTGAGTGGTCCACTGTCTCCAGTGAAAAAGCCCTTAATGCTGAAGAGACCAGCAAAGATCTGTCCTCCACAGAAAAACCCATTGTCACCATTGAGAAGACCAAAGCATGTCTGCTCTCGTGCTCCACCTCCACTTTCCTGCCCACTGAGCCCACAGCCCTGATGATGCCTCTAGAAGCTTCAGGTGCCTCCATGACCAACAACATACCAGCTATCACTACAAACCCTGCCCCCACCACAGGTAGGAGGGGATGGGTGCTGGGCACAGGGCTGAGAGACAGAATCCTGTCACCTCAGCAGAGTGACCTAGGCCTCTCCTGAGCTGGAGACAACAAGATTGGACAGGGTGACAGGAGAACCAAATATAGCTGCTCTCTTCCACCGTTGTCTTTTTTTCCATTACTGGGGACTGAATACAGGGGCTTCACACTGAACTGCATCCCCAGCCCTTTCTTATTTTTTTATTTTATTTTTTATTTTGAGACAGGATTTCAGTAAGTCACCAAGTTGCCCAGGTTGGGCTTGAATTTATATCCTCCTGCCTCAACCTTGCAGAGTGCTGGGATAACTGGCATGCACCACCATGCCAAGCCCCTCTTTTAAAGTATATAATTCAGTGTTTTTATTTCTTTTGGGGGAATAGCAGGAATCCAACTCAAGACCTTGGACTTGCCAGGCAGGCACTTATGCCATTGAACTATATTCCTGGTCCAATTCAGTGTTTTTAAATGTGTTCCAAAGGTTGTGTAACCATCATCACTTTTTCTTTTTTCTTTTCTTTTCTGTTTTATTTTTTTCTTTTTCTTTTTCTTTTTTCTTTCTTTTTTTGGCCCATGGTGTGGAACCCAAGGCCTTCACACTGAGCTACATCCCTGGTTGTTGTTTATTTTTTATTTTGAAACAAACTTTTTTTTGGTTCCGGGGCTGTAACCCACAACCACATGGTGCTTATGCCACTGAACAGAGACAAACTCTTAAGTCACTAAATTGCCCAGGCTGTGCCTCAAATTTGTGATCCTCCTGCCTCAGCCTCTCAGAGTTCTGGGATTACAGGTGTGTACCATTGTGTCTGGCCCACTTTCTAATTCCAGATAGTTTTATCACCCCAAAAGTAAATCTCTTCTCCTTCAGAAGTTACTCGCTATTCCTTGATCTTTTCAGACCCTGATGATATTAATCTTTCTATAGCCTGGATTTTTTCTGCACATATAAGATGTGAGCTTTTGTGCCAGGCTTTGTCATTGAGCTGATGTCCTCAGTGCCTCATCCTAACTGTGTAGCTGTGTCAGAACCTCGCTCCTTTCAATGGTGGAACATTAGGTGCCTCCTCTTTAGGGAGGAGTTTAAGGCTGGGCAGAGGCAGGGAGGCTCTTGGGAGCAGCTGCAGAGCAGGGGCTTGATGGAGGCTGTGTCTTCCCCCAGCGAACTGTCCCCCAAATGCCCACTACGAATCTTGTGCGTGCCCGGTGTCCTGTGAGAACCCCAAGCCCAGGTGCATGCTGCCTTGCCACCCAGGCTGCGTCTGCAATCGTGGTTTCCTGCTCAGTGCCAGACGGTGCATCAAGGCCTCATCCTGCAACTGTATCTATGGCAATAAGAGGTATAAGGTAAGCGAGCCAGGATGCTGCCACTCCTGGAGGAATGCTTGGGCCCTGCTGCACCTGCTTCCAGGGTGAGATGAACTGGGGCAGTCAGGAGGGCCAGTTCAAGGCTGTGCTTAGTCAGGGTCTTGCTGTGTTGGGTGCTTTTGTTTTTGTTTTGTTTTTTTTTTTTTTGGTACTAGGAATCAAACTCATAACCTGAGGCACTGTGCCACAGAGCTATATCCCCAGTTTGCTGTGTAGTTTAGGCTAATTTTGAACTAATTTTGTAATCCAGGTGATCCTCTTGCCTCAGGTGCCTGAGTGCTGGGATTACAGGTACTACACTTGACTCAATATGTACTTTTTGATGACCCTCTTTGCTCATGCTGTGAATCTTAGTTAGGCTTTCACTTTGGCCCAATGTCATGCTAGCCTGTGCTGAAGAGTCTGTCACCCATAGTCCTGAGCTAAACATTTCTTCCAGTCTTATTATTCCCGAAATTCAGGGCTAGAGCATTTATCTGCCACAAGCAAGGCCCTCAGTTCCATGCCCAGAACAACAACAACCCCTCCCCTCAAAAAAAAAAAAAAAAAAAAAAAAAAAAAAAAAACAGAAGCAAAAATACTGGAGATGGTGGCACATAGCTGCAATCCAAGCTGTCTGGGAGCCTGAGCCAGGATGGCAGATTTGAACCTAGCCTGGGTAATTTAATGAGACCTTGTCACAAAATAAAATATAAAAAAGGGCTGGGGTCCAGCACACACCTATAATCCTAGCACTCAAGAGGCAGAAGCAAGAGGATTGCCTCAAGTTTGAGTCCAGCCTAGGCTGCATAGTGAGTTCAAGACCAGCCTGAATTTCAGAGCGAGATTCTGGCTCAAAAATCCAAAAGCAAGGTGGGTGCTGGAGATGTAGGTCAAAGGAAAAGGTTCAATGCCAAGTGTGAGGAAAAAAAGTTACTGATGGGATAGTTTACATGTGTGCTCCCTGCCCTATACTAAGCCTTCAAAATCTGTGGCCGAGAATGTAGCTCAGTAGCACAGTGCCTGCCTGGCAAACTCGAGGCCCTGAGTTTGATTTCCAGTACAAAAAAAAAATCCAACTTGTATTTTATACATTGAGTATTTGTCATTTTTGGTGGCCCACGGACTGGCTGGTGACTGGTGGCTGGTGGCTGGTGGCCAAAATAATGGACCAATCTGCAACCCAGCAGACCTAAGCTTGAATCTGCGCTGCAGCATCCACTCACCAACCGGCCTTGGGCAAGTTACTTTACCTTACTGGGGACTGAACCCAAGGCCATGACACTGAGCTAACCCCAGCCCGTGTTTCTGATTTTTTATTTTGTGGCCGAGTGGCTGAGTTGCCCATGCTGGGTTTGAATTTGCTGTTCTCCTGTCTCAGCTTCCCAGAGGGCCAAGATTAAAGGCTTGCACCACCACACTTGGCTTTTTACCTCTTTAACTCTGTTTCCATATCTATAAAAGTATATACAGTTAAGATTTTCTGCCTCGGGGCTGGGGATTTTAGCTCAGTGGCATAAGCGCCTGCCTTGCAAGCAGGCAGTCGTGAGTTCGATCCCTAGTACTGATAAAAACGGAAAAGACAAAAAAAAAAAAAAAAGATTTTTTGCCTCATATAAGATTGCTGTCTTGGAGAAATTAGCTTCTGATGACACAGTGCTAGTTACTTAATAAACGTTCATTGTTATCATGAATGGTTTATGATAAATATCACATGCAACCATTAATTAAAAGTGCAGTAAGTTACTCAATAGCATCCAGAGCCACCCTCAGCTGCAGGTGTCCATCCTGCCCACTCTGGCGGCAGAGCTTCTGCTGATCTCTCCAGCTCCCCAGAACCCTCTCTGCCCACCTCCTGGGGTGCTGAGGAGGCACTGCAAGGAGCAGCTCGATGCCACCTGGGCAGACAGGAGCGTGGCACCAGCATCAGGGTCCCCACCACCAGGAGGCAGAGTTAATTTTCACATGCTTCAATGGGTGCATTAAACGTTTGCCCAAGCACTTTCTGTCATCCCGGCAATGGGCACCTCATAAATAGGGTAAGCGTCTTGCATTTCTAATGCTCTCACCCAACTGTGGCGGTGTATGTCTGTAATCTTGGCAGCCTAGGAGGCTGAGGCAGAAAGATATATAGTTTGAGCCCAGCCTGGGGAACTTAGTGACATAATAAAACCCTGTCTCTAGATAGACAGCCAGACAGCCAGGCATAATGGTAAATACCTGTAATCCTAGTACTGGGGAGGCTGAGGCAGAAGGATTACCATGATTTTAAGGCCAGCCTGGACCCTGTCTCAAAAAAAGAAGCAGCGGGGAGCTGGTGACATAGCTCTGTAAAAGCACTGAGTTCAATTCCTAGTACTGCAAATGAGTAAACAAACACACACATGGATGCTCTTGGAGTTGGAGGGGCACATCTGATTCTTCCTGACTTCTTACGAAGTGAGAGCTGTCTGCTGTGACATGCCCAGGTCAAGATAGGGAGTAAAGACATAGTCCTTACCTGGATGCTTACCGCCAATCAAAAATAAACATAAAAGTGCCATTGTGGTGGGTCAGTCTTCAGAAGGACAGTCTCAGTGCAATGAAGGTGACCTAGTTGAGGAGTCTTGAGATATCTTCCCAAGACAGCTGCCCTTGAACTGAACTATGCTGGTTGCCATGGAATAGGAAAAACAGGGAGTGAAAAACATGCAGAGATTCAAGAGTAGCATGTGCAAGTGCCGTGTGGCTGTCAGGGACTGTCAGGTTGGCAAAGAGGGCATGGGAGTGAGTTTAGGTGCGCACGGGACTGGAGGAAGAGGTCTAGATAGAAGGATCTGAGAGATACGGCTTTGTGACTCTGGATCCCTCGCTCCCAGCCTGGGCAGAAGTGGTTCGGCCCTAACTGTACAAAGTACTGTAGCTGCTGGCCAGGCAACCGGATGAAGTGCCAGCGCGCTCGGTGTGGGATACACTCTGTGTGCCGGCTGAAGGATAACAAGTATGGATGCTACCCATACGGTGAGTGCCTCCTTGCTTACTATTGAGGGGTGTGATGCTGGGGTCTTGTGCCCTCCCTGCAGTGGAGGAGCTACTGCATCACCGGGCAGGAGAGCTGGTGTGCGGGCCCAGCCTGGCTGGCTGTGGGAAGCAGCTTCTGGGTCTCCCATCTCCTCAACAGACACTGCCACCTGCTTTGTGTATGGGGACCCTCATTATGTCACCTTTGACAAGAGGCAAATTGGCTTCACTGGCAAATGCACGTACATCTTGGCCCAGCCTTGCAACTCCACAGGTAAGGCTTTGAGTGTCAGTCACAGCCTGGGGGTCAAAACTGCTGAGCATCGGGGACTGTGTATGGCAGGGCCTGGATGGGAGCAGATGGGTACAAGAGGCCACACTGAGGCAAAATCCTCTGTGTGGCAGATGTTGTGATGTCAACCCAGAGGCAGGCTCTCAGGCCCAGGCCACTGGGGAAAGTGCAGTGCAACCTATCATTCATCAGCTGGGCGTGGTGGTGCGGCCTGTCATCCCAATACTGCAGTAGGCTGAGGCAGGAGGGTCCCAAACTCAATGCCAGTCTGGGCAACTTAGTGACTTAGGGAAACCCTGTCTCAAAATAAAAAATAAATCAGGTCTGAGGCTGTGGCTCAGTGCAGAGGCCTTGGGCTCAGTCCCCAGTAGTGTACTGGGAAAACAAAAAACTCATCGAATGAGTCCCTAGTCTCTTCCTTCCTCTCCCCACCCAGAGCCATTCTTCAGGGTGACAGCAAAGAATGAGGAACGGGGACAGGAAGGTGTGACCTGCCTGAGTAAAGTCTCTGTGACCCTGCCAGAGACCACCGTCACCCTACTCAAGGGCCGACAGACCTTGGTGAGCCCTGTCCTTGTCCACCTCGGGGAGGCCACCAGGCCAGCCCAGCCACCTCTAAGTGGGCTGAGGGAGAGACCTGTGGCTACCAACTGCGGGTGTGGGTATGCCAGGTCCTCTTCGACCCCCAGATTAGTGTCTGTCCCCTCTTCCTGCCTCTCTGTCTGCCAGGTTGAAGGCCAGAAAGTCACCCTACCAATCATGCCTGCCAAAGGTGTCTTCGTGGGTCCAAGTGGGCGATTTGTGGAGCTGAAGACGGTGTTTGGTCTGCGTGTGAGATGGGATGGCGAGCAGCAGCTGTTTGTGACGGTGTCCAGGTGAGGGGTGGCCCCGTGGGCAGCTGCCTTGCTCCAAGCTTCACACTGCTTCTGGACCCCCCTAGAGCCTGCGCTCTAACCTCCTTCCCTTCCAGGCCCTGATGCTCAGCCATGCAGGGGCCTTGGGGCGGGCAGGAAGCTGCAGGCTTCCTTGGGCTAGGGAGGCAGACAGCAGGGTACACACCACAGAGTGCTTGGGCCTGTGCGCGAGGAGTCACGCAGGCTTTGTTTGGACCCGCTCCCTGGGGAAATGGACAGACTTTATCCAAACAGTGATCAGGATTTGGGAAAGCCAGCTGGAGTGATTTAGGGCCAGCTGGGGATGTTTTATGGCTGGGCAGCCTCCTGGTTGAGCAGAGGGGCACAGAGAGACTGTCAAGGCAGCTCGGGAAGGCCCGCAGAGTCCTCCTGCGCCCAGCACCTGGCGTGGAGTCCATGTCGGGAGTAGGCACTTTTCCTTTTCCCCCTTTACCGTAGCACTGGGCCTTTGCACTGAGCCACACTCCCAGCCCTCGGTAAGTTGCCCACCCAGGCTATGCTTGAGCTTGGATTTCTCCTGCCTCAGCCTCCCAGACTACTGGGATTCCAGATGTGCACCACCACACCTGGCAGGAATAGGCACCTCTTAACCCACTGGGGATCCTTTGACAACTGGTCACCTCCTCCCCTATTCATGCCACCCGCTCTCTGTCTCCACAGTGCCTACGCTGGCAAACTCTGTGGTTTCTGTGGCAACTATGATGGGGACAGCAACAACGACAGCCTGAAGCCGAACGGTAGCCCAGCACTGGATGATGAGGAGCTGGGGAACAGCTGGCAGTCAGCCGAGGATGAGGGCAGGGAGTAAGTGAGGAGCCCTCGTCTGGTGGCCTGGTCCACGTCTCCACCCTCCTGGCCTTTGCCACCTTCTAAGACCCACCACAACCTACTGGGGAGGCTGAGGCAAGAAGATCACTTGAGCCACAACTTCGAGGCCAGTCTGAGCAACAGAGCATGGCCCTGTCTCAAAAAACAGAAACCACAGCTGACATTGCCCCTTTCCCTTCACCTTCCTGGAGCCTCCAGGTAGCTCTTCCCTCTGGGCTCAGGGTTCCAGTGTCTTCTGTACCATGCCACCTCAGTAGCTGCTGGCTGGACTTCAGCGGGAAGCCACCCTTGGCTCTGAGCACTGGGCTGTCTGCCTTCCAGGTGCCTGCCGGACCAGGCAGACTTCCCTCTCTGTGACGTGGCCTTGAAGAGCACCATATCAGGGCCCAGGTTCTGTGGCAGCCTGATGGACTTGAGAGGACCATTTGAGTAAGGCAGGGGGTGAGGGGTCCCCCAGAGGACAGGAGAACGTGCTCCCTCTTGCTCACCCGACCTCTTGCCCAGGACCTGCCTGCTGCATCTGAAGGCCTCTCTCTTCTTCGACAACTGCGTGTCGGACCTGTGCAACTTCCAGGGGCTCCCAGTGATGCTGTGTGCCCACCTGTCAGCCATGACGGCAGCCTGCCAGGACGCTGGCTACCCCGTGAAGCCCTGGAGGCGACCCCAGTTCTGTCGTGAGTTGCCATCCGGAAGCAGGGGAGAAGATGTGCGACCTTTTCTTCAGACGCAGACAGGACATAAAATGGGGGGTGACTGCAGTGGGAGCGGGGCTTAGCAGTAGGATGTGCACTTGGCCTGCATGAGGTCCAGTATCAAATAATCAATAAAGTTGGCGATGAAGCCAGGCGAGGTGGTGCACACGTGGAACCCGCCACACATACTTTCACATGAGGACAGGGCAAGGGGCAGAGCCGCAAACATCCCCGAGAAAATCACAGTCACTTGCAAACTCAAAAGGCTGGCTAGGGCCAGGGAAGTGCCTGCCTGGCAAGCAAGAGGCCATGAATTCAATCCCCGGTACCACAAAAAGAAAAAGGCTGGCTGGCTGGCTGAGTTGCTTTCTTTCTCTTATTTACTTTTGCAATATTGGAGATTGAACCCAGAGTCTTCACACTGTGATACATCCCCCACCTCCTCTTTTCTTTTTTCTTTTGAAACGAGATCTTGCTAAATCCTTAAGTCGCCCGGGCTAGGCTTGATTTTGCAATCCTCCTGCCTCGGCCTGCCAAAGTGCTGGAATTACACCTGCATACCACCACTTCTGATGGACTCTGTTGCCCTCTCCCCTCCCCCATCCCACCTGTCTGCTTCTAACCTGAGTGTCTGCCTCCCTGTTCTGCAGCCCTCAACTGCCCAAGCAACAGCAGATACTCCCTGTGCACCAGTCCCTGCCCAGAAACCTGCCACAAAGCCTTCAACAAGCCCTGCCGGGGCCGGTGCGTGGAAGCCTGCGAGTGCAACCCGGGATTCGTGCTCAGTGGCCTGGAGTGTGTGCCCTGGGCCCGGTGTGGGTGCCTTGGCCCCACAGGGCGCTACTTCAAGGTGAGTGGCTGGGGTGGCTCTCAGCCCTGCAGCCAGAAAGGACCCGCTCCTGGGGCCTGCCCTCAGCCCCAGAGGCCTGCCCTTCCTGCACCTAGCTGGCTCTCACTTCCCTTTCTCTTCTTGGCCCTGGAGCTGGAACCCACGGCCTTCTCATGTTAAGCAAGTGCTTTACCACTGAACCACAGCTGAAGGGCTCTTTATCAACCTCTTTCTCGCGCCGTGGGCTGCCTCCCAGCCACCTCTGCCCATTGGAATCTGCTGTCTCCCTTGGGGCCCTATTGAACTGCTCTCCTTCTTAAAGCCTTCCTGATAAACCAAGTCAGAAAACATCTCAAGAAGCCAGGTGTGGTGGTGCATGCCTGTAACTGCAGTCCTCTGGGAAGCTGAGGTAGGAGGATTGCAAGTTGAAGTCCAGCTCAGGCGGTGTGGCCTTGTAGCAAGACTTCATCTCAAAATAAAAATAGAAAAGAGCTGGGATGTAGCTCCTTGAAGAGGCCCAATCTCCAGTACCACAAAAGGAAGGAAGAAAGGAAGGAAGAAAGGAAGGAAGGAAGGAAGGAAGGAAGGAAGGAAGGAAGGAAGGACAGAAGGAGAATTTCTAGTAAAGAGATATTTTCTATCTAGTTAATTACTGAATTTCTGACATCTAGCAAATTACAGACAGACATCAACTAAAATACCAAAGTAACAAAGAGATGGTCTGGATGATAGGAGGTATGATATAGGAGTGATATATGGACCTCCAAATAATGTAAGGGAAATATAACTCCCACTTGCTAGATGTCCAAAACGCTGAGTTCCTGTTTTTTAAAACTGAGGAATGAGGGGCTGAGGATTTAGCTCAGCGGCGTAAGCGCCTGACTTGCAAGCAGGTAGCTGTGAGTTCGATGCCTGGTACCAATAAAAATGAAAAAGACAAAAAAACAAAACAAAACTGAGGAATGGGCTGGGCATGGTGATGCACACCTGTAATCCTGGAATTTAGGAGATGGAGGCAGGAGAAGTGCCATGAATTTGGGGCCAGCCTGGGCTACATTGCGAATTGAAAGCCAGCTTGAACTACATGGTGAGACCCTGCCTCAAATAAATAAAATACAATGAAATCGAAGAATGAATTCTCGGAATGATATAGGAGAAATGCTAGATGTCAAATACACTGAGTTTGTGTTTCCTGAAGTCGAAGAATGGATTCTAAGGAACAACAGAGGTTAAGAGTAGGACATGTATTGGGGAAAGGAATGAAGAATTAGGATGGGAAGCAGGAATAGCCCTGAGAGACAGGAGGGGCTCCGAGAGGGCTGCGAACGAGCCCACCCCTCAGAGGAAGTTTTCCAGAGCAGAATCATGAGGTGAGTACAATGTGGGTCAAAATTATGATCAACCAATAAGATCGAGAGTATAGTGCCTTAGGTAATATTGATCTAACCGTAGCAAGGATACGTGCGTGACATCATTAACCTTGGTTGATGGAATTTAAGAGTAAGGAGTCTATTGAAAGAGAACTGTTATCTAAGAGAGACCGAAGGGGGCCCAGAAAGTGGCTTGCCCACCAACCTCGATTCTCAAGGGTGTTTTATGGAGCAAACCCATGAGGTGAGACAGGTTGAAGGTGGGACGAAACTATAGCCAACAAATAAGATTACAGATACAGCCGCTTATGGACTATTGATCCAATGGGAAGTCACAAGCTGGGTGTGAGGCGGGACAAAACTATGTTGAACCAGTAAGATTACAACAAGGAGAGTCCTTAGGTAAGACTGATTAAATGCAGATAGAATGAGTAAACAAATCACGTAGCAAAGGGTAAAGGAATGGGCTAGGGAGGTTTTGGTTCCCTCTCTAAGGTGATGGATGCTTATTTAAAATAACTGTCACTGCTGTTCTTCCCTAGGGGAAGCCTGCAGGTATGGTCGTCTTCTTTTCCTTAAAGCCTGGCCTTCAGCGAATGCACCTCTGGCCACGGTTGTCCTCTGTGCTGAGGCCCCAGCCCTAACTGCTGTAATATTTATAACTAGCTGAGCTGTCTGTAATTTCTGGGCTGAGTCAATGAGCCAGTGCCAGATGTTGGAATGGGAATGGCAGTGGGCTCTGTCTCCCTGGGAAAACCTCCTTTCCTTTCTTCTCTCAGCTAGGGGAGCGCTGGTACAAGCCAGGGTGCAAAGAACTCTGCGTCTGTCGCAGCAACAATCGCATTCACTGCCGGCCCTGGAAGTGTCAGGCGCAGGAGGCCTGTGGCCACCGGAGAGGCCTATACGGCTGCTACGCCCAAAGTGAGTGGTCAGGGGAAGGTGACTGAGGGCTCTCGGTTGGTGGGGGGGAGGCCTTGCCCAAAGCAGTGTCTCTGGGGCTGTGTGTTAGTCAGCTTTCTGTGACTGTAATAAATACCTGAAATCTATCAGTTTATAAAGTAAAAAGGTTATGACCAGGCATGGTGGTGCACTCCTATACTCCCAGCACTCAGGAGGCTAAGGCAAGAGGATTGCTGTGAGTTTAAGGCCAGCATGGGCTACAAAATGAGTTCAAGGACAACCTGAACTATATAGTGAGACCCTGTCTCGAAAAGACAACAAAAAAAAAAAAAAAAAAAGAGAGAGAGAGAGAGAAAGAAAAGGTTGACTTTGGATCACAGTTCTGGAGGTTTCAGACAATTTAAAGGAAGGAAAGTTTATTTTGGCTCTCATTTTTGTTCCATGGCCAGCCAGGAAACAGCATGGCAGAGGGGCCTGACTGAGGAAAACTGCTCCCCTCAGGGAGCCAGGAAGCAGAGAGAAAGGAGGAGCCGGGGGGGGGGGGACCTCCAGAGACCACCCCTTCAGGACAGACCCCAGCTCCTAACAGCAAGGTCCCTCAAGGCCTCACAGAGTCAAGCACTTTCCGGAAGCTCTGCCTATGAACCCATGAGGCTGTGGGGGGCATTTTTGATGTAAACCACAAAAGTGGGGAGTGCATGGCCAAGGCATTCAGCTCATAGCTGGGACACGAAGGAGAGCAAGAGAGGCCAGGGCACAGTCCCTCCACAGCCAGACGGACGCCCAGTGCCCAGGGCCTAGCGGTGTCATTAAGGCCTCAGAGAGGGGAATGTGAGTGGAGCAGAGCCCCTGCTTCACATCCCCAAGCCAAACCAAGAGCTCTTTCTAGAGGGCCACCACATCCAAAGATGGCCCCTAGGTGCCATCTAACATGGGCTCGCCAAGATGGCGCCCCTGGATTGGGGCTCCATGGTGCAGGGCCCTGAGACCCTGAAGCCTGTCCTCTCCTGCCAGGTTCTGCCACCTGCACTACCTTGGGTGACCCTCACTACCTGACATTTGATGGAGCCCTGCACCACTTCCTGGGGACCTGTACTTACATCTTGACACAGCCTTGCTGGTCCAAGTACCCGGAGAACAACTTTGTCGTGAGCGCCAGCAATGAAATCCGCGATGGGAACATGGAGGCCGTCTATGTCAAGGCTGTTCACGTGTGGGTCTTGGACCTCAGGATCTCACTGATCAAAGGCCGTAGGGTGATGGTGTGTGCCGCCCCCTGCCTCCCAGACCCCACACTGCCTTGCACACTGTCCACAGGGACAGCTGCCGTCCTCTTAAAGCCCCTGGGGATGAGCTGCACCCCTCTTCCTCTGTGAAATACTCACTACCCCTTTTGCCCTGGGTTTGGTTTGTATGTTTGTATCCCCAGCACTGGAGATGGAACCCAGGGCCTTTGTACTGAGCTACATCTCCATCCCATATTCTGAGACAAGGTGTCGCTAAAATGCCCAGTCTAGGCTCAACTTGTGATCCTCCTGCCTCAGCCTTCTAGACAGGCATGCATACCACACATCGTACCCCAGATTTTGCCCCCATGTGGTTTATGTCTTACGTTCCTAACTCTTCTTACTGTGTCCCCACCCCCACCTCTACAGCTGAATGGCCATCAGGTGGCCCTCCCTGTGTGGTTGCTGCAAGGCCGGGTGACCATTAGCCTCAGTGGCTCCTTTATCCTGCTCTACACGAACTCTGGGCTTCAGGTTCGCTACGATGGGAACCACCTGGTGGAGGTGACAGTGACCTCCTCCTATGCCGGCCAGCTCTGCGGGCTCTGTGGTGAGCACCTGTGGGAAAAGCAGGGAGGAGGGGCACACGGGCCTGACCTCATCCCCAGGTCTTCACTGGGTGTCCTTGTCACTGGTGCATCAGTTGAGGACACTGGGTGTGAGGGTAGGTGCTCAGGGAAGCCAGAGATGCAGGGCTCAGTCACACAGGTCGGTCATCCCAGCACTCTGGGAGGTGGAGGCAGACGGATCAAAAATTGGGCTGGACAACTTCATGACTTAGCGGGACTTGTCTCAAAACAAGAAATAAAGGACAGGGCTGTAGCTCAGTGTGAAGGCCCTGGGTTCAGTCTCCACCACTGCAAAAGGAAAAAATGGAAAGCCCGAGATGAAAGAAAGGCTAGTCAGCCCTGAGGCACACAGTAGGTGTCAGTGAGAAGCCCCTGTGGTCAGGAGGGTGGTGGCGCTGAGCTGGGGGTACCAGGAGCAGCTCTGTCACCTCTATTCACTGCCCGCTCCTGCAGGGAATTACAACAACAACAGCTTGGATGACAACCTGGGCCCAGATGGGAAGCCCATGGGCAGCTCCTCCCAGCTGGGGGCCGCCTGGAGGTCCTTGGAAGGCTCTGAGCCAGGGTGAGCTGGGGACAGGGACCCAGGCAGAGCCTGGGGAGGAGAAGCATCTGTCTCCCGAGTTCCTGTCTCCCTCTGTGCTATAGCCCCCATGCTAGGAAACCAGCTGGCTGTCTCCCTTTGATTCTCTCTGAGGTTGGAGATTTTTTTTTTTTTATAATTTTTTTTTATCTTTTTCGTTTTTTTTTTTTTTTTTTTGTCTTTTTCCTTTTTATCGGTACCGGGGATTGAACTCACAACTGCCTGCTTGCAAGGCAGAAGCTTATGCCGCTGAGCTAAATCCCCAGCCCCTTCTTTTTCGTTTTTATCGGTACCAGGGATTGAACTCACGACCGCACACTTGCAAGGCAGGTGCTTATGCTGCTGAGCTAAATCCCCAGCCCCGAGGTTGGAGATTTTTGATTGTGTGTTTTGTTTTATGTTTTGCTTTTTTTCTCCTCTCTCTTTCTTCCTCTGCCTATTTTCTCTGTCTTTCCTTAACTAAAGTCACTGAGGTTTCCCAGGCAAGTTTCAGACTTGGGATCCTCCTGCCTCAACCCCAGAGTGCTAGGATTACAGGTGTGTAGCAGAAAGCTCTGCTGAATATTGTTTCCCTTTTTCTGGTTTTTGGTTTTTTGTTTGTTTGTTTTCTGAGACAGAGCCTCACTATCTAGTTCAGGCTGGCCTTGAACTCAAGGTAATGCTCCCAAGTGCTAGGATTACAGGTGTGCCCCACTACACCCAGCCATGGTTAAATTTTGAAAAGCTTATTCTCCCTTGCTTAATGACCCCATTGGCAAGCCTATTTGGGAAGTCCGGCCTTGCTCCTTCCTGTTTGAGGCTACTATTTCCTTCTCTTTCCTTGTCTCCCTTCAATTTGAGGCCAGTTCCTCAGCTTTGTTTTCTGTCTTTCCTTCCAGTTGCTTTGTGGCTGGTACTGAGCCCTCCAGCTGCCCAGAGGATGACAAGATAGACACTTGGAGTAAGAACTGTGAGATCTTGACAAACCCCCTAGGTAAGACACAGCCTTGCTGCCCAAACTTTGTCCTCCCTCTTCCCTGGGGACAGGAGGTGATGGTGCATGCCTGTAATCCCAGCACTCAGGAGGAGGTTGAGGCAGGAGGCGTTCAAGTCCATCCTGGCCTACAAAGTGAGTTCAAGGTTAACCTGAATGCCATAGCAAGACCCTGTCTCTAAATAAATAAATAAACAAATAAATAAAATAAAAAATCAGTTTAACTAAATAAATTAGTTGGGGGCCTGGGATTTAGCTCAGTGGCATAAGCATTGCACTGACAAATACAAGGTCATGAGTTTGATCCCCGGTATGGAAAAAAAATAATAAATCAGTAATTCTGGCTTTTGTTGGAAATAGACATCACATTAACCACACAGAAGTGTCAGGGCTCACCTTCCTTTCGCTGTCCTCCAGGGCCTTTCTCCAACTGCCACCAGCTGGTACCCCCGCAGGCCAGCTTTGTCAGCTGTGTGCAGGGCCAGTGTGGGTCCAACGGTGACAGCCTGGCACTGTGCCGCTCCCTGCATGCCTACGCATCCCTATGTGCCCTGGCTGGCCAGGTTCTTGCCTGGCGCAACGATACCTTCTGCCGTGAGTAACCTGAATGCTGCTTCTGTGGCTGGGAGGGAGCCCCAGAACCCCCGCTGCTTCTCCCCTCAGTCTTGCTCCTCTGCATGCGTGGAAGCTTCCACCCTTCCTAGAGCCTTGCTCCCAGCTCCTGGGGCCCAGCCCCTCACCTGCTAGCGGCTCTGCTCTCTGACTCTTCTGTCATCAGAATGTCTGCTTTTAGCTGGGCATGGTGGTGCATGCCCATAATCCCAGCGCTGAAGGAGGCTGAAGCAAGAGGATCTCCAATTCAAAACCAGCACCCCATAGGTCGGGAGAGCTGGGCAATTTAGAGACTTGTAGTCCTGCCTCAAAAATAAATAAATAAATAAATAAATAAATAAATAAAGAGCTGAGGATGGTAGGGATGTAGTTCATTGTGAAGGCTCTGGGTTCAGTCCCCAGTAACACACACACATGCACACACACACGCACTTGTACCTTCGCTTTTACCTAGGCCAGCTCTGTTCACTTCTTCTTTCCCCTGAAACTCTTTTTTTTTTTTTTTTTTGTCTTTTTTATTTTTATCGGTACCGGGGATTGAACTCACGACCGCCTGCTTGCAAGGCAGGTGCTTATGCCGCTGAGCTAAATCCCCAGCCCCTGAAACTTTTTTTAATTGTGGCAAAATATATGTAACATAGCCAGGCGTGGTGGCACACTCCTATAATCTCAGCATACCTTGAAGGCTAAGGCAGGAGGATCACCATAACTTCAAGGCCAGCCTGGTCCACATAGTGCAAGGCCAGCCTGCACTGCACAGCAAGACACTATCTCAAAAACATATGTGTGTGTGTGTGCATGTGTGTAACAAAAGTTAACCACACTCACTTTTTTTCAAATATCAAATTTCTTTTTCTTTTTCTTTCTTTCTTTTTTTTTTTTTTTGGTACTGGACCTTGAATCTAGGGCCTTTGCACTAAGCTATATCCCCAGACCTCATAAAATATATTTTGTATCTTGAGACAGTCTTGTTAAGTCACTAAGTTTCCCATGCTGAGCTGGAACTTGCAACCCTCTTGCCTCAGCCTTCCAGGTATGGATCACAATGGCCCAGCCTTGTAAGGCTGAATAACTGTCCATTGCCTGGATAGAACACATACAACATGTCTGTTCCCCCATCAGTGGACATTCTCAGGAGCTCTCAAGATCCCACAGTCCGCAGCTGGAACGCCACACTGCTTTTCCTAACACATGTGTTCCTTTTAGCTCTGAGGTGTCCACCTAATAGCACCTACAGCTCCTGTGCCAGGCCCTGCCCGCCCACCTGCCTCAGCCTGAGCAACCCCAAGGACTGTCTGACCACGCTGCCCTGTACAGAAGGCTGCGAGTGCTGGAAAGGCCACATCCTGAGCGGAACCTCCTGCGTGCCCCTTAACCAGTGTGGCTGCATTGAGCCCCAGGGCTTCTACCACCCGGTGAGAGACCAGCCGGCAGGGGGTGCCCTTCTTGTTCCAGCTGCAAACGGGGGTGTGGACAAGCACAGGCCAGAGTGCCCGAGGGCCCTGAGCTCTGGAAGGGGTCTGGCAGACCTGGGCTGGGGATGAGATCCCATGCAGCAAGTTAGAGATGGAGGCACCCATCTGACACAGGATGCCACCCAGCTTTTGGGAGGGCTGTGCCCATTTCTGGCTTCCCAGGTCCGGTGGCCCTGCTGATCCTACCACCCCATAGGTCGGGGAGAGCTGGTACCCAGACAGGACCTGCACCTCCCGCTGCACCTGCTTGGCCCACAACAACATCACCTGCCGCCAGGCCACCTGCCAGGAGAACCAGGTGTGCTGGCTCCACAACGGGCTGCTCAGCTGCTGGGCGCCAGGTAGGAGCTCACAGTGCTGGGGCACCCACAGTGCCTCACTCTCCCCTGTGCATTCTGTACTCAGAGAAGAAGGGCACCTTGGAGTTCACCCGCTGTCCTAACCGTTTCTATTCTACATCAGAACAGTTGAGACTGGGTGATTTATTTAAAAAGGATTTGTGTGTGTGTGTGTGTGTGTGTGTGTGTGTGTGTGTGTGTATACACATATGATATACTGGGGCCTTTGCACTCAGTTACAACCCCACAAACACCTTTTATTTTGAGGCAGGGTCTCACTAAGTTTCTAAATTGCCTAAGCTGGGTTTGAACTTTCTTTCCTCCTGCCTCAACCTCCAAGAGTGCTGGGATTACATGGTAGGATGGCAGTATCTTGTGAGAAACCAAGCTGACCTTCATTCATATGGACCCAATTTCCTGATACCTAACCCACTGCCTCAACAACTCATGAATCAGTTACTCATGGAGAGAGAAATCCATTCGCAAGGACAGAATTCTTACCACTCTGTCACTTCTCTGTTGGTCAGCTTTTGGTTGCTGTGACAAAATATCCCAAAGTATTTAAGGAGAAAAAGGTTGTTTGGGCTCATGGTTTCAGGGATTTCAGTCCATGGCACTCGACTCCTTTGCTTCTGGGCCTGCCATGAGGCAAGTCTGCATGGGAGGACTGTGTGGGGCAGCACACTGTTGGGCTGTTCACCACATGGCAGCCAGGAAGGAGAGAGGAGGAGGAGCCAGGGGCAAGAACAAGGTGTGATCTAAAAATATGATAAATTTTTTTTTTGTCTTTTTCCTTTTCCTTTTTATCGGTACCGGGGATCTAACCCACGACTGCCTGCTTGCAACGCAGGCACTTATGCCGCTGAGCTAAATCCCCAGCCCCCAATAAACCTTAAATTTAAAAAATTACTACAGTAGCGCTGGGCATGATGGCACACACTTGTAATCCTAACACTCAGGAGGCTGAGGCAGGCAGATCATTGCCTGGGCTACAAAATGAGCTTAAGGTCAGACTGAACTGCATAGCAAGACCCTGTTTCAAGAAGACAAAAGCTGAGTGTGGTGGCACATGTCTGTAATCCCACAACTGGGAGGCTGAGGCAGGAAGATCACTGGGAGTTCGATACCAACCTGGGCTGCAAAATGAGCTCAAGGACAGCCTGAACTGCATAACGAAACCCTGTCTCAAAAATACAAAAAAAAAAAATTAAATGAAAATTTAAAATAGATTATTACAGTGAAAGACACATTGCCAAGAATTCCCCATTAAAAGTCTCCCCCTCACTTCGAACATATCATTCTTGCCACTTTCTTTCTTTCTTTTTTTTTAAAGTTGGTACCAGGAATTGAACTCACAACCACACACTTACAAGGCAGGCACTCACACCGCTGAGCTAAATCCCCAGCCCTCTTGCCACTTTCTGAAGCAGTTCTTGAAGTCCTCTTTCCTGAGTGTCTTTAGCTCTGATGCTTCTATACCCCAAAGGGACTGAAAACATTCACTTCTCATGGTCTTTTTTTACTTGGGGGGGGGTGCTAGCAAATAAAGTGGATTTGGACACAGTGTTTTTACAAGCTGGCCTCTGTTAGGTGGCACTGAGTGGCAGCATTCACTATATATTTGATCACACCTCAGAGAGACTCATGAAAGAGGACTTTGGAGCTGCTTCAGAAAGTGGCAGGAACTGTGGATAAGTGTGTTGGAAGCCAAGAGGAAGAGGAGGATTTTGAGGGAGGATCAGGACATCGTGCTTTTCACTGTAATAAACGTCCAGAACGTAACCCTGAGCATGTGTTTTGGTCCCCTGTTGCACACCTTTGCGAAGAACACTTCAGTGCCCTCCCTGCTGCCCCTGGGCCCCAGCACCCCACAACACTCCAGTGCAGCTGGGGACTCATCCATGGATCAGCCCAGTGATGGGGTCTGCACCCCGAGATCCACAGTCACCTCTGCAGGCCCCACTGCGGAACACTGTTGCTTTGGGGTTCAAGCCCTCCATCCATGAGTCCTGGGCAGTATTTTATATATGACCATAACACACCCCAGAGGCTCCCCCTGGAAATCCCATTACCATACCACTTTCAGATTCAGTTTCTAACACAGGAAGTGGGGTGGGGAACATGCAAACCACAGCACCTGTGTTTCTCCCCTGGTGACCTGCATGTGATGAGCTGTGACTGTTCACACCTCTGCCCCTGCCACACACCAGCTGGCCCTGGGCCTTGGGCCTTTTCGCAGATTTTCCTAGATGTTTCTCTTTTCCTGTCCTGGGGCTCCCTAGCCTTTTCCAGGAGGGGAGAATGCAGGGCCTGATCTCACCAATATGGGCAACCCCTCAGCCAGCTCTCTCCTCCAGGTGCAGGCGTCTGCAGGGCTTTGGGGGATTTCAAGTACGTGGGCTTCGACAGCAGTAGCCACCTTGTCCAGAATGCCTGTGCACACATCCTGGTGAAGGTGTGTCACCCCAACATGGACCTGCCTGTCTTCAAGATAAGCACCAAGAGTGAGGGCAGGACCGGGGCTTTCAACCATCGCCAGGTCTACATTGAGGTGGCCAATGTCCAGATCATTCTGCAGGAGGGCCACCAAGTGCTGGTGAGTTGGATGTGGTGACAGGCCCTGGAGAGAGGAGGAGAGAATAATGGGGAGAGGACTCTGGTCTTCCTCCCACTCACGGATGCCACCTTCCCCTTCAGATCAATGGCACACCTGTCACCCTTCCTGCCACTTCCCAGATCACAGGGCTCAGCATCACCTCCAGCGGCATCTACACCATGGTGCACCTGCAGCCTGGAGTGCAAGTCAAGTTTGACGGTCATCGTTTCTTAGAGATCAAAGTCCCTATGGCTTATTATGGAAAGGTGAGGATGATACCACCTCTGAGCGGAGGGGTGGGGTGAGGCGGGGCAGTATCTCAATTTCCCCACCCCAAGATGTCAAGGGCACCTTTCTGGGTGTAGTATCCCAACAAACAGTGCCCCTGGGAGCCAGCAAGATGGCCCATGCCTGTGAGTCTAGCACTCTGGGAGGCTGAGGCAGAAGGAGCTTAGTCTGAACAACTTAACAATTCAGCAAGACCTTGCCTCAGAATACAAGAGAAAAAGGGCTGAGTGTACCTCAGTAAGAAGGCCCAGGATTCAGGCCCCAGTGTTGAAAAAAAAAAACCCTTGGGCCTCCCAGAGCTGAGCACCTTGTGCCCACTCAGGTCTGTGGTGTGTGTGGGAACTTCAACGGGGAGGAGGAGGATGAGCTGATGATGCCTAGCGATGAGCCAGCCCAGGACGACCATGAGTTCGTGGACAGCTGGAGAGACGAGGACATTGACTCAGAGTAACAGTACCCTAAGACCTCCCCCTTGTCATGACTGAGGGAGCGGAAACGAGACTGCAGGCCACATCCGGGACAGGAACAGCAGGGGTCCCTCCAGGGCTGTGGTTTGAGAAAGGGGGCTTCTGGGCTTCCAGGTTGATGGAACTGAGTTGGGGAAGTAGAAAATTTCCTTTCTACTTAGAAATGCAGGAGGGGAAAACCAAAGAAAAGAAAGTCAGGCTTGGTGGTGAAAAGCAATAATCCCAGCGCTCAGGAGGCTGAGGCAGGAGGATCACTATGATTTCAAGACCAGCCTAGAGTACAGAACTCAAGGCCAGTCTAAATAGCATAGTGAAATTCTATCTCAAAAAAGACCAAAAAAAAAAAAAAAAAAAAAAAAGCCTGCTCTGGTGATGCACACCTAAATCAAAGATCAAAGCACTCTGGGAGGCTGGTTGATCCCAAGTTCAACTCCAGCCTGGGCAAAGTTGCAGGACTTGGTCTTAAAATTTAAAAAAATAAACAGTAGTGTAGAGCTCAGTGCAAAAGCACTGGGGTTTAATCCTTAGTATGAAAGGGGGGAAAAGAAAAAGGAAAGAAAAAAACCCTAGGAGAAGATGAGGCCACATGCAAATTTGGCCTCAGCTCAGACAGCTTCCCATGAAGAAAAGAAAGGCCAGGAGTCCCCAAGGTCTCTTAGGGTCACTTGGGAGCAGCGCTCTGTAGTCCTAGGTGGCACCATGGCTGTCCCCAAGCTGATCCTGTTCCTTTCCCTGACAGCTGCCAGGAGGAGGATGAGCAGGCAGAGCAAACCCTGAACGGAAACTGCAGGCTGGAGGACATTGAGATGGCCCAGGCGCACTGCCAGGCGGCCCTGCAGGCTCCGGCCTGGGCCAAGTGTGCCACACGCGTGACTCTCAGGCCCTTCCTGCTGGACTGCACGAGCAAGCTCTGTGAGTTTGGAGGCCTCAGCCAGGCACTGTGTGAGGTCCTGCAGTCCTTCGGGGCCGCCTGTCAAAGCGAGGGCGTCAAGGTGCCGGTCTGGAGGAACGGCAGCTTCTGCCGTGAGTGTCCTGCTGCCACCCCGACCTGCCACATTCCTCCCAGGGTCCCGGGAAGCCCCCTCAGTCTCCTTCCAGGCTGTCCCTGACCTACCTTCCTTCCTACCTCCCCTCACCCCTACCCAGAAACATCTCCTTCTGCTCCTCCTCTCCATCCTCCTTCTGAAGTACTGGAGATTAAATCTAGGGCCTTTTCCCTGAGCTGCATCCCAGCCCTTGTGATCTTTCAAGACAGGGTCTCACTAAATTGCCCAGTGTGGGCTTGTACTTCTGATCCTCCTGTCTCAGCCTCCTGAGTGCTGGGATAACAGGCACGTGTGTCCATACCTGGCTTCCATTACTATATTATATCATAATTTGTCTTTTCTTTTGTGGTGCTGGGGAACCAACCCAGGACTTTGTACATGCTAGACAAGCATTCTGTCCCTGTCCTATCATAATTTATGGTCTTTTTTTGAGACCAAGTGCTGAGATTACAAGTACATGCCACCATTCCTGGCTCCCTAGACACTTTTTAAAAGTTTTGATACAGACTTGCTAAATTGCCCAGACTGGGCTTAAATTTAGAACCCTCTTGCCTCAGCCTCCCAAAATGCTGAGGTTATTATCGTGCTACCATGCATGGCTGCATCCGTACTTATGAGAGATGTCACTAAATGACCTTCCAAAGGTTAAAGGATTTACATCCCATACATGCCTTCATTTTTCATATGTTAAATACCCAGGTATGAGCAGGTCTATTCCCCCACAGCCTCACCAGCACCATGCGTGTCAAGTCTTTGGATTTCTGCCCATGGGGATAAGTCCAAAGGAATGAACCTTATTTACATGTTTGTTATGAAGTGAGGTTGTTCATTCTCTCATACGTTGTTGAATTTTCTTTCCTGTGAACTCTCTATTCATATTTGTTCACATATTTCCATTGGGTTGTTGGTCTGAAACCATTGTGTAAAAGTCCTTTATGGAAAATAGCTCTTTATTAGAGCACTAGTTACACAAAATTTTCCAGGTTTTTTTTTTTTTTTAATTCACCATGTAGGAAAAAATTTTATTTTTCTAAGATCAAATATATTAATCATTGTTTTCTACCTTCTGCATCTTGGGCCATAGTTAAAAATGCTGTTGCCACAGAAATTAAATTTTTTGACCATGCTTTGCTTTAGAATTTTTAAATCTTTTGAAATATATTTTTTTGGAGGCAGAATCTTCCTATGTGTCTTGAAGCTTAACGTGAATTTGCTATGTCGCCCTGGCTGGCCTTGAATTTGAGATCTTCCTGCTTTAGTCTCTTAAGCACTGGGACTACAGGCAAATGCTACCACACCTGTTTTAAATATTTAAATGTTTAACCCATGAGAATTTATCCTGGTGTGTGGTATGAAGTCTTTGTTTTTATTTGATTTTAAACTTTTTTTTTTTTGAGACAGGGTCTCACTGTGCAATTCAGGCTTGAGCTCACTTTGTAGTCCAAGCTGGTCTCAAACTTGCAGTGATCTGCCTGCCTCGGCCTCCTGAGTGCTGGGATTCCAGGCATGCGCCACCACACCTGACCGAGATGGCTTTCCCTGCCACCTGAGAGGTCCTAACTAATCATCCACTAAATTCCCCCAACCAGCTGAATGAGGATCTGAGTTTTCTTTCCTGTTCCATTGGTCCAACTATATCTGCATTTGCCAGGAATTCGATGTAATCATCGAGACTCTAAAATGTGTTTTATTGCCATGTGTGGTGCCACATGCCTATAATCCCAGCACCTGAGAGGCTGAGGCAAGAGGATCACTGTGAGTTCGAGATCAGCCTGAACTACATGGCGATATGCTGTGTCAAAAACAGACAACAGGGGCTGGGGATTTAGCTCAGCAGCATAAGCACCTGCCTTGCAAGCAGGCGTTGCGAGTTCAATCCCCAGTACCGATTTAAAAAAAAAAAAACCAGACAACAAAAAAGTATTTTAACTTTTGGTAGACACATCTCACTAATCACTATTCATTTTGAGAGTTTTGCTAACCTTTTTAATTTCCTTATATTTCCACTGCATCTTCAAAATCACTGTATCCTATGAAACACACACACACACACCCTGTTAGTCTATTTCATTGGGATCATATTAAATGAATGTTTCATGTGTTCCCAACTTTTTTCCCTTGAAGTCTTTTTTTTGGCAGTACTGGAGACCAAACGCAGGGCATTTGCGCTGAGCTAGCTACAGCCTCATCCTTTCTTGATTTTAAGTCTCACTAAGTTACTAAATTGGACTCAGATTTAATATCCTCCTGCCTCAGCCTCCTGAGTGCTGGGATTACAAGTGTGCACCACCATGCCCTCCCCTCTCAGGGTTGATGCCTGCCTACCTGCTCTGCACCCTTTTACACACGCACACCATCTGCTGCACACTCCAGAGTCACACTGTGGCTGCCGGCTGACAAGCCTGGTTCCATGCTCTTTCCCAGTCCTTCCTCCTTAGGGCCTGCACGCAGCCATGCTCCCCACTGACTTCGGGATGGAGAAGGAAAGGATTCCCAGGCTCCTCCCCAGCCTGGTTTCGGGCCCCTTCCGGCCTTCCACTCACCTGCACCCCTGTTCCTGCAGCTCTGAAGTGCCCAGCGTACAGCAGGTATACCACCTGCACGCCTACCTGCCTGCCATCTTGCTGGGACCTGGATGGCCGCTGCGAGGACGCCACAGTCCCCTCTGCCTCCTCCTGCGCTGAGGGCTGCGTCTGTCAGGCTGGCTACGTGCTGAACGAGGACAAGTGTGTGCCCAGAAGCCATTGTGGCTGCAAGGATGCCCAGGGTGGTTTCATCCCTGTGAGTGGACAGGGACAGTGGGAGGTGGACACAGCCCTTGAGGGTGGCACCATCTTTCCGCAGCCGGACACACCCAGCCTCTGTGGCTGGCCCTGGGAAACTCGGGCTGGGGTCTGTGGTTTGAGTTTGGGATACAAGAGGGCAGAGTGCAAAGGTCAAAGTGCCCAGTGCTGAAGGACCCAGACTTGACCTCTGTGCCTCAGTTTCCCCATCTGTAAAATGAGGGGCACTGCCTGGACAGATACAAAAGGCACCAAGCACAGTGCTTCCCGGGGGATGTAGGGACATAGAGATCCAGTGGCATCGTAACTGCTTCTGGCCAGGGCACTTTATATCTGTCCCTGGGCTTCCACGAGGACAGCTGGCTCCAGCCCCCTGCACCCCAAGGAGGCTCAGTTTATTGTGTGAAATGGCCTAGCATTCACACAGGACCTTTATCACATGTCCTCCTGCAGACTTTATATCATCTCTAGCTGACTTCTAATAGCCAGTATAATGGCAAACCTGGTCCACAGAGTGAGTTTTTTGTTTTTTTGGTCTTTTTCCTTTTTATTGGTACCAGGGATCAAACTCATGACTGCCTGCTTGCAAGGCAGGCGCTTATGCTGCTGAGCTAAATCCCCAGCCCCCTCCATAGTGAGTTTAAGCCCAGCTTGAACTACATAGTGAGACTCTGTTTCAAGAAGAAAGAAAGAAAGAAAGAAAGAAAGAAAGAAAGAAAGAAAGAAAGAAAGAAAGACTCTGCATCTTCAGTACAGGGACAGTTTTTTTTGTTTTGTTTTGTTTGTTTTTTTAACACAGGGTCTTGCTTTGAGTGCAGGATCATCTTGAACTCACTGTATTCTGCCAACTGGCCTTGAATTTATGGCAATCCTCCTGCGTTAGCCTTCTCAGTGCTAAGATTATAGGCATGCACTACCACACACAGCTAAAATTTTTTATTTAAAGACAGGTTAAAGACAGGCATGGTAGTGTGTACCTAAAATCCAAGCAGTTGGAAGCTGAGGTAGGAGGATCATTGGGAGTTCAAGGCCAGCTGAACTGCATAGTGAAACCCTGTCTCAAAAAGACAAAAATAGGGGCTGGGGATTTAGCTCAGCAGGCATAAGAGCCTGCCTTGCAAGCAGGCAGTCATGCAGTCGTGCAGTCGTGAGTTCCATCCCCGGTACCGATAAAAAGGAAAAAGACAAAAATAAAGGCCAAGGGTTTCGCTCAGCAGCACAAGCACCTACCTGGCAAGCACAAGGTTGTGAGCTTGATCCCCAGTTTAGGGGGGAAAAAAAAAAAAAAAAAACAGAAATGAAAGACAAGTTCCCATTAAATTCCCAAGTTTCCCAGACTGGACTTGAATTTTCAACCCTTCTGCCTCAGCCTCCCAGTGCTGGCCTCACAACTGTGCGTCACCACCCCTGACCTCCTTCCCTCTCTCTCTTCAAATGGCTCTTCCAGGCCGGTAGGACGTGGATCTCCAGAGGCTGCACCAAGCAATGTGCCTGCTCTGAAGGAATCGTTCAGTGCTGGGCCTTCCACTGCCCTCCTGGGTCCCACTGCCAGGACAACGAAGATAGGGACAGCAACTGCGTCCCCAATAGTAGGAAGCTGGGGGAGGGGGCTGGGCCAGCAGGGCCAGCAGGGCCTCAGCCTGGCTTTGAACTGGGGCTCACACCAACCACGGCCACGTTTAAATTACTGAGTCTCTGGTGTACCCTACCCTAAAGACCCAAAGGATCAGAAAGAGAACCAAAGTAAGGGTTCTGGAGAGGGAGAAAGTGGAAGAGAAGTGTCCAGGGAGCTGGCCTGAGAGGGGGACAGGAGGTATCATGGTGGGGACATAACCTCCAGGGACACATATCTGCTGCGATGCCCACTCCGTGTGCTCCCCTTCCTGGCAGAGTCGCAGCACTGCTCCATCTTTGGGGACCCACATTACCGCACCTTTGACAGCCGCAGCTACCACTTCCAGGGCCGCATGACCTACATCCTGGTGAAGACGGTGGACGACCTCCCCAGTGGTATGCAGCCCCTGGTCGTGGAGGGGCGTAACAAGATGTACTCACCCAGGAGCCCTGTCTTCCTGTATGAAGTGATCATCAGTGTCTACAACTACAGAGTTCAGCTCCAGTACGGTCTGGTGCTTCTGGTTAGTAAGAGGCAGCCTGGGGCTGGGTGTGGCCATGCAGGCTGACAATCCCAGCACTCTGAAAGGCTGAGGCAGGAGGATCTCAAGTTCAAGTCTCACCTGGGCAATCTAGTGATGCAGTGAGCACAAACAGGAAAATAAATAACAGGCTGGGGATGTCGCTCATTGTGAGGGTCTAGGGTTCAATCTTCAATGCTGCCAAAGACAAAAACAAAACCAAAGCAAAACAAAACACTTAGGTTGGAAGAAGCAGCTGGTCAGGCAATCCAGCAGGTCCTGTGTACCCTCTCTAGGTCAACAGCCAGAAGATGGCCTTGCCCTACAGGCCCAACAAGCACCTGCGGATCATCCTGCGCGGCCAGCGGCTGTATCTGATCACAGACTTTGAGCTGGTCATCAGCTTCGATGGGAGGAGCAGTGCCGGTATCTGAGAGGGCGAGTTTGTGGGTGGGGCAGTGGAGGACCCCTCAGACAGGCAAACCATGGGAAGCAGAGCCCTGCCCTGACATGGGGTCCCCAGCTTGAGGGGAGCTCAGTCCGGGGACCCCCTTGCTCTTGCAGTGATCTCTCTGCCCAGAATGTACCAGATGCTGGTGGTCGGCCTGTGTGGGAACTATGACGGCGACCGCAAGAATGACTTCATGCAGCCCAGCGGGATGCTCACCCGCAGCATCAGTGCCTTCGGCAAAAGCTGGGAAGTGAAGAACCAGGAGACCCTCCTCCGTGTCCCGAGGTGAGAGACTTCCAGGAGCACAGCCACCCACCCCCTCGACTCCTCTTTACCCCTGGAAACCCCATCAACTCCGTCAGCCTCTCTCCCCAAGCTCACTGCCTCCGGCCCTGACTTCTCTGCTCCAGGGCCTTCCAGGAAGAGGAAGAAGAGGAAAACTCATACTCCCAAGCAGGGTCCCGGTGCAGCCCCGAGCAGCTGGCTCTCATCAATGGCACCCAGGCCTGCGGGGTGCTGGGGGACCCCCAGGGCCCTTTTGCTGCCTGTCACCATGTGGTGGTCCCAGATCCCTTCCAGGAGTGAGTCAAGGGCCCAAGACTTGGGGGAAGGGCCCAGCTGGCTCTGGGCTTCTGCTGTGTTGGCTCCGTGATGGTGCCACCCTCCAGCTTGGCTTGGCTCCCCTACCTGCCTCTGCCTGGGGTCTTTCTGTTCAGGCTGCAGGCCTTTTTCTCCTCGACCCTGTCACCCTCCACCCCAGGCATTGTATGGCGGATCTGTGTACCACTCAGGACCCCAAAGATCAAGAGGAGCTCCGATGCCAGGTCCTCAGTGGGTACGCCATTCTGTGCCAGGAGGAAGGTACCAGCCTGGCCAGCTGGCGGGACCACACCGGCTGCGGTGAGGCGCTGCACCCGCCGGCTGTTCCACCTCTTCCCCCACTTGGTCCTCACCCGAGGCTTCCCATCTTGGTTCCTCCATCCCTCATCCCTCGTGCCTCGTGACTCCATCATAGCAAGTCCGAGGCAGGGTCCCTATGCAGCCTAACTGCTTCTCCTCCTTCCCGGGAGCCTCTTCCTGTGGGACACCCCATCTTTGCCTATCTGATCCCCACAAATGTTTTCAAGTCCCTGACTCCCTGAGGAAGCCAGTCTCCTCATTCGGACTTCCCAGCCCCCAGCCAGCTCCATGCAGTTGGGTGACCCTGCCCCCCTCCTCCACCTTGAGTCACGGTCCCCAAGCCTGTTTTCTGGCCCCAGCTCCTGACCCAGCCTCTGTCCCTTCAGCCATGACATGTCCAGCCAATACAGTGTATCAGAGCTGCATGACACCCTGCCCGGCAACCTGTGCCAATCTGGCAGCTCCGGGGGAATGTGAGGGCCCCTGTGTGGAAGGCTGTGCCAGCCTCCCGGGTTACGCCTACAGCGGCATCCAGAGCCTCCCCTTGGCCAGCTGTGGCTGCACCACCAATGGCATCTACTACCAGGTCTGGGCTGGTGGCGGGAGGCGCCGGGGAGTTGAGGTGCTGACAAAGCCAGAGCCCCACCAACCCGGCCCTTCCTTTCTAGCTGGGTGACAGCTTCGTGGCTGAGGACTGCTCCCTGCATTGCACCTGTGCCAGCTCCCAGGTCCTGCTGTGTAAGCCCTTCAGCTGCAGTGATGGGGAGATCTGCACCCTGGCCAACCTCACTCGGGGCTGCTTCCGGGGTAAGCTGGGCTGCTTTTTCTCCAAGCTGTCTGAAGCTCCCAAGGTGGACCCCTGGGCCACAATCAATCTCTGTTCTCTGCCTGGGACTTCTGCATTGATGTCAGGAAAGGACTTATTCCTGCTACCCACTAGCCTTGTCCCAGGGTCTCCTATAGTTCTGGCCTCCAGCATCTGGGGTGAAGCTCTTTCCTATTTTATGGGTAATGGAAATGAAGTTCAAACTAGGTATGGTGGTGTAGGCTTGTAATTCCCATACTCCAGGAGGCTGAGGCAGGAAGATCACAATTTTAAGTCCAACCTGGCAACTTAGTGAGACCCAGTCTCAAATTTAAAAATTAAAAAAAGCCTATGAATATAACTCAGTTCAGAAGCCCTGGGCTTAATCCCCAGTACCTTTAAAAGTAGAGAGAGAGGGCCAGGGATTTAGCTCAGTGGCTTAAGCACCTGTCTGGCAAACTTGAGGTTGTAAGTTCAATCCCCAATACCAACAGAGAGAGACAGAGACAGAGACAGAGACAGAGACAGGTGATAAAATTTCCCCAGAGCCTAGGGCTATGGTGTAGTTTGGGCCTGACCTCCAGCCAGGCTCTAGTATCCCCTGCCTTCCTCCCTGGGGTCCAGCCTGCAGCTGGATCTCTCATGTTCTGAGGGTCCTCCAGGACCACTCCTCTCCATCCTGCAGAAAGCCCATGCCTGTGGAACCCTTGTCAGAATGACGGTCAGTGTGAGGAGCATGGGTCCAGCTTCATCTGCAAGTGTGAACTCGGTTACGGGGGAGACCTCTGCACAGAGCCTCAGGATGTGCCAGCTCCTAGAGAGAAAGGTAAGGGCCATACCCACTGACAAGCAGCACAGAATTATTCTAGTATCTAAAAGAGACATAAATGTAGCATGTTAGATATCATATACAATATATTGCTCATAATATTGATAATACATGGCACCTATATTACAGGGATCACATTACCATACTATCACTAGAGTTAGGTGTGGCAGCTTCATCCCAATAATCCTACCACTCTGGGAGGCGGAGGTAAGATGGCAAATTCAAGCCCAGCCAGGGCAACTTAGAAAGATGCTGTCTCGGGGCTGGGGACTTAGCTCAGCGGCATAAGCGCCTGCCTTGCAAGCAGGCAGTCGTGAGTTCGATCCCTGGTACTGATAAAAAGGAAAAAGACAAAAAAAAAAAAAGAAGATGCTGTCTCAAAATTAAAAGAAATAAAAATTTACAAAAGGCTAGAAGAATAGCTCAGTGCAAAGGCCCTGGGCTCATCCTCAGTACAAAAACCAAAAGATCCCTAGGGATTGGTGGGCCATGGATGCTTGATCCTACCACCTACCCATATGCTCTGGAATCTTTTCTCTTAAACAACTTTTTTACCCCTCACCCCTCTGTACCTACCTAGTTAACTCCCGCGTCTGCCACTCTGTGTGTCTCCAACACTTTTTCCTATTTTTCTCTACCCCAAACTCAAATTCCACCATGCTTCCAGAGCAAAGGTTCCCCAGGTTTCCCTGGGACCCAAGGCACATCTGCCTCCCAACCCGAGCTGGGATGAATGGGCACTGATGGTGGAAAGAATTCCTGAGCCGCCTGGATCTAGGAGCCCACCGGATGAGCAGTTCCTAAAAAAGCCCATGGGAATTGGGTCTAGATAGTGAAAGGGTTACTGGAGGTGGGTGGCACCAGGGCCTCAAGGTCCCCTGGGGTGACAGTGTCCTGGAGAGGGAATGAGCCACCACCAGAGATGAAGGGGAATGTGGTCCCTCAGCTGGCAACTGAGGACCGAGGACGCCTCCTCATGCCTCCCCTTTTCCACTCTCTGGTCCGTTTCTCTCCCTGCACCCAGAAGCACCCAGCTTGGTGGCCATCCTGCTGAGCATGCTCATGCCTGTCATGGTCTTAGTCCATGTGCTGAGCAGAGAGTGCATTTGCAAGAGGAGGAAGAGAAGGAAGAGAAGGTGAGCTCCTGGTGGTGTGGTGCTGGGGCCTGGGATGTCAGAAGACCTCATGCCTCTGTTCTCCACCCCTCCTAGGAAGAAAACAGAGCACAGAGCCCAGCTGCTGACCCCAGGTGAATAAGCCTCAAGGCCAGGACATGGGCGGCCAGAGGGGACTTCTGTGCCTGACACATGTTTTCTTGCTTTCTCCTCAGATATCATTGCAGAGCCTACCTGCAAAGTCACAGTTCTGAGTTGACCTCAAACAAAGAGATAAAAAAAAAAAAAAAACTTGTTTACTTATTTATTTATTTATTTATTTTTTTTTTTACCCTCCCCAGTACTGGGAATTGAACACTGGGCCTTTGCACTGGACCACACCCCTGACCCTTTTTTATTTTGAGACAGTCTTTCCACTAAACTGCTAGAGTGCCCAAATTGGGCTCAAATTGCAATCTTCCTGCCTCAGCCTCGCAAGAGTGCTGGGTTACAGATGTGCCACCACACCCAGCTAGAAATCCTGGGTCTGCCAAGGTAACTGGAAAGTCATTGAGAAGCTCTAAGTTCCTAATGATGAGAAGCTCAGGGGAGGGGGGCTGGGACTTTTCCCTTAGGGTGGTCCTGGGCAACCCCAGCCCTCTAGCTCCTCCTGGTTACTATGAGAAGTGAGGGTGGGATTGGCTCAGGCTTGGGGGTAGGAGCACTGCACTCCACCCAACCCTTCCTAGGGTCTCATTCTGGGTTGAGGGGAGGGGTTGAACCCTCTGAACGAAAGCTGGGCTCCAAAGACAGAAAATAGCCGGCCAGCTAGGAGGGGGAGGATGGAGCTGGGAGCCTTGCTCTGGGGATGTGGAAGCAGGTAGGACACCAGGATTATTGTCTGCACACACCCTCCAAGACCACCAGGTCTGTGACAGACTTCCTTGAAGGACGTGAGACCTAATCCAGGTGAGCAAAGGGCCCTGCCCAGCAGAGCTTTCCCTGCCTTAGTGGGGTGCCCTGCTTCTAGGAAAGCACAGGGCCCCTGGTCCCCATCTGGTTTTCTTCGCCTCTTACCTGTCTCTTCTTGGAGCCCTTGACGTTTATTTCTGCTGAATCAGCTCTTCAAGGTTACTTTGTCTAGCCCAGATGTGGCAGAGGAAGAGCCTTGGCTGTCAGGCCTCCGCTGGATGGACACCTTCCCTGGGTAGGGCTGAGTCCTGGGCCACCCCCTTTCAGAGGTAGAAAACATGAGCACTGTATCCCCAAGGGAAAGATGGGACAGAGGAGCTGGGGATTTAGCTCCGCAGCATAAGCGCCTGCCTGGCAAATGCAAGGCCATCAGTTCCATCGCAGGTGCCAAAAAAAAGATGAGACAGAGGGCTGTAGATGCTGGAAACCACGGACAGGCTCCCTGGGCTAGGAGGTCCTGCACTAACCCCAACATGACAACAGGGGGCGACCGAGAGGCCAAGGTGAGAAAGCTGCTCCCACAAAACCAGGCTGGCCCCCATCAGACCTGCCCCTGCAGGTGTCCCAGGGGGAGGGCAGGGAGAAAAAAAAAAAAAAAAAAAAAAAAACACGAGGGGAGGGATGACCCCAGCCTTCTCTTCCTGTCTGGTAAGTCGCGCAGAGAGCGCAGACGCAGACGTATGAGGGTGGCCCCCTCTCTGCCCAGGCTGGAGAACCTGCCAGGGCGGCAGATTGAATGAAGGAATTGTGCAGCAGGCACACGTGGGGTCTTCTGCAGCCACTCCCAGCTCTCCCCCTCCCCCACTGCTGTTAAACTAACCCCAGCTGCCAACATCTGGCCCACATCTGTCTACCCCAACTGACTAGACGCTCCCCCCTATGTACCCCACCCTCACAGGGGGCTGCAGGACTATGAACGTAAACCTCCTTCCTCCTCACAGCACCCTGGTAGGCCTAAAAGGAACCAGGACAGACTGGAAGGGGGCAGCCCCACCCCGGAGGTGCCCCAGGCTCTTGGCACAGCCAGCTGAGGCAGTTAGAAGCAGCTGCCAGTGACTCATCTCTCACAGCCCCCACCCCGCCACCCCACCCTGGGGCTGGGAACCAAGCACCCAGGCCCCTGCCCCCACTGTCTGATCATCTGGACCCAACCCCACGGTCTTCAGAAATCTAGCTCCCCCTGGAACTGTGATATGACTCGTTTTATTTATACAAAAAAGTTTCTTTTTAATTTTTAAATATAATTTAAGAACCCCTCCAAGCACCGGGTGTCTGTCTGGTTCCCACCACCGACCCCCTGCCCCTTTATCCCCTCCCCTGTACCCCCTGACGGACACAGTTTAGGGGTGCTTGTGGAGCAAGTGAACCTGGGGTTGTGGCATGGCCAAGGCACTGTTCTGGAAGTGGACACCTCAATGGGTCCGATGCAACACAGGCAAAGGAGGAGCGGGGGCAACAGGTGCCTCCAACACAGACACTAGGACAAGGATGCTAGAAAAACAAAAAATGGGGGACGAGAGGAAAAGTAAGACCAAAAACAAAATCTCATGAACCTTCAATATGAAGGCAGCAGATGGGAAGGGGCATTTACAAGGCAAAGATGATTGTGTCGGGTGGTGGCAGCAGCAAGTTGGGACATCAAACCCCAATGACCATGTCACTGGGCTGTGACACCCCTTCCTGCCTCCTGGGATAGTGCTCCTCCAATCCCAAGCTGGCAGGCTGGTCACCCTCTCTTTGGTCTGCAGGGACTTGTCCCTCAAGGTGAGGGGGAGCACCTGGGGAGCTGGCAGATTAAGGGTGTCACCTCTTCCTCTGGGTAGATCTAGTCCTGAGGGAAAGACACCCTCACCTTGGCTCTGGGGTTTTCCCCCTGAGGGGCCAGAAAGTCGTTTCTACCCTCCCAAGTGGCACAGTCCCCTAAAATACTCTTTCCAAATTGCCAACTCCCCACCCCCACGGGTTCAAAGTGCTATCCAGCGGGGCACAGGGCGGGAGATCTTTGTGATCTACCAGACTCTGCCCCCCTCCCCGAAAGAAGAGGAGGCTGTGTTTCTGGGGTGAAGAGGTCCTCCAGGTCAGTACTGCGGGGCTGGCCCTCCTGTCCCGCCTGGAGTTCCAGGCTTGGCTTGGGATTTCATATGCTGGACACTGGCCAAGATCTTCTTCTGGTGTCCCGCCAGAGTGACTCCAATTCGGAGCAGGTCCCTGAGAGAGAAAAAAGCATTTTACATGCTATCACGCTTCCAGACCTGAACACCTCGCTTACCTCCAGACCCACTTTCAGAGGCCCGGGATAGTCAGCCAATGAGACCGTCAGTGTGGACTGGGGAATGGACAGAATGACGTCAATAGTTGTGAGGTAGTTTTTGAAGATTTAAGGCCCAGGACACCCTTCTGCGCAGCTGCGGTAGAGCGTGTGGCTGCGTTTCCACCAAGCAGGGGTTTAGGGGGTGGGGCTGGGAGGGGAAGGAAGTTAACTGTAGAAAGCCTGGGGGAAGGGGCTGCACAGATTGTTTTAGTGGTTAAAGAAGTAAGCCAGCGAGAGAGGGAGAGAGGAGGAATTGGGTGGAGAGGATGGGGAGCGCCTGGCACACACAGATAAAGGTGATAATGGAGAAGAGGGGCAGACAGGTTAGGGCGGAGAGCACCCAGGCCCAGCATTCAAGCATTCAAGCAGAGCCCCTAGGAGAGAAAGCGTCTCAGCAGCTGACCTGGGAGAAGTTACTTGGGAGTCAGAGGAATCATAAAAGCATTTAACATTAAAGCCGGGAAGGATCTCTAAAAGCTAGTCCAGTGTTCTCCTTTTATGGTGGGAAAAGAGCAGCAAGGGCTGACACGTTCTGAGAGCTAAGTGTGGAATGCAGATAGATGCACAAAGATAGACGGCAGGGTGGCAGCAAGAAGGGCGGTGACCTGGGCCGGGCAGGATCACCGCCGGGGGTGAGGGTGGGCATGAGGAGACCTGCTTCTTAGCACACACACACCCCAAGCTCTTCTGCTTGGGGGCTGCTCTGGGCATAGCCCTGGGTGACTTCCTTACTGCTGCTGCTCGGAGATTACCCAGAGGTTGACCCCAGAGGCACCCGAAGACCTGAGTTAGATCCTCCCCTGCTCACTATCCCCAAGTGCCTCTGGCTCCTCCGCTCTCCTGCCATCCTCCCTCCACTTACTCTGCAGAGATCTGGCTGACCAGCTCGAAGGAGCCGAACCCAGCTGCTGCAAAACTTTCTTCATATCTTCCCATCTTGATGGCTCGAAGCCACTCGCCCACAGAGCCAAAGGCTGAGTAGTGTGGCTGCCGCTGGTCAAGGAGTGGGTGTGAGGCCCTGTTAGGTAGGGAGGAGTGGAATGCTAAGTCCCAGGCCCGAGTCTAGGAATGCAAGCCCCTCTCGGAGAGGCCCATGGGCATCACCTCGAGTACCACCAGAGGGCTAGGAGGGGGATCTCAGGCCCTGACAGACTAGGGAAGGAGGGTTTGTTCTCTGGGGTCCTCACCCGCCGTTCTCCCTGGCCACGATTTTGAGGCTGGCAGGGTTCCGGATCATCTTGTCCAGAGCGCTGACCACCTGGGGGAAGCGGGGCCGGGCATTCCGGTCCTTCTGCCAACAGTCCAGCATGAGCTGGTGGAGGGAGGTGGGGCAGTCTGGAGGTGGGGGCAGTCGGTAGTCTTGTTCAATGGCGTTGATCACCTGGGATGACAGGAAGAAGCACTTGGTGAGGCTGTCCCAAGACTCCAGGAAATGGTGACCTAGCCGATGCTAGGACAGATCTGGAAGCCCTTTTAGCTGGGCCAGAGTGGGCAGTGGCTGGATACCTTAGCAGATCTCAGGCTATAATCTGGACATGCAGCTTGCCAACCCTGCCCTCTGTTCCTGCATCCTTCTGTGACCCACATAATGCTGCAGAAAACTCTCCCATGCAAACATCACCTCTTCTATGTCACCTCCCACCATCCCAAGAACCTCCTTCCACCCAGGATGAATCTAGAAACCTCACTCCCAACGTATTTCCTAGATGAGAGAACACAGAAAAGCTTGGTGTGATCACAGGACACTTACGTCCTGATTGCTCATGTCCCAGTATGGTCGCTCTCCAAAAGACATCACCTCCCACATCACAATCCCATAGCTCCATGCATCGCTGGCAGAGGTGAACTTCCGGAAGGCGATGGCCTCGGGGGCCGTCCATCGGATGGGAATCTTTCCACCCTGGGAAGGAGGAAAAAGTAAACCCAGGCCCTCAGCCCCTGAACAGGCCCCTATGCTGTCTTCTCCCCCTAGGTCTGACCTTTCTTTCTTTCTGGGACCCAAGGTCCCATTTCCCCAACTCTGTTCCTTTCCTAGACATCCAGAAGTCGGTTCACCCTTAGCCCGTGCCTCTATCCCTGGGCCAGAACTGCCAATCCCCCCTGCTCCCACCTTTCTAACCTGCCCTCCGACGTGGCCCTGAGACACTAGCTTATGCCCCGTGCCCATCCTCACCAGAGAGCTGGTGTAGGTGGGATCAGAAGAGTTCTCCTCCAGGAAGCGGGACAGGCCGAAGTCTGAGACCTTGCACACCAGGTTGCTGTTGACCAGGATGTTGCGGGCAGCCAGGTCTCGGTGCACATAGCTCATCTCAGCC